TAAATATATGAACTAAAAAAATTTACTTTAAACTATATATAAGAACTAAAACGAATTGAAAAAAAATAAATATAAACATTAAAATATCTATTTTAAACTATAAAAATAAAAAAAAATAAGTAAAATTATAAATATTAAAATAAAATTTTAACCTTCTTTTAAATTATTACTTTTTTATAAGTATATCTATTATATTAAATAAAAATTATTAAATGGATAAGATCTAAACCAGTGCAGATATTAATCTAGTTGGGTGTCATTGATGAAAGTCTGTGGAGCAAATGTTGTGTTCGGCAACATGTCACGTTATCAATGTGACATATCGTAAATTTTGTTTAAATATAATTTTGGTTTCCTATAAATGTATTTTTTTTTAGTTTATATAAATATTTTAGCTTAATTAGCTTTTCATTATATATATATTAGAAAACTCTCGACTAACATTCTTCTCACTTTCCTCAATATATTGGTCAATAATATTACATGTTGTTCTCGAAAACTATAACATATAGTTTTAAATTAGAAAAAACAATTTTAAATTTAGGTCACAGAACAACAAACTTATTTGAAGGACTAAAATGCAGTTAATTTTTTTTTTAATGTGAAAAGATTCCAATAAATAGGGGCGAACAACGATCCAGTTCGGACAATTTTGGATCTAAAAAGTTAAATTGATTGTAAATTGATTTTCAAAAAATATAACTCATTCTCGACTATTTATATTTAGGTTTGAGGCGATTTGAATTAATATGGATTTGAGTTTAAACAAACGAGTATATATTTTCAGTTAGGTTGTTTATCTAGACGATAAAAATCAATTTGGATGCGATGCTTGTCAACACAACAAAGACCCAAGAGCAAATTGAAAGTCACTATCAAATAAGAGCAAAATGGGAATTAAAAATGCAATTAAATGTAGAAGAAATATATAGAAGTGATCAAATTAATTGTAGAAGTGACTATCATATATAAATTATGGCTTAAATATGTTTTTTTTCCTCAAATTTAGGGTAAATCTATTTTTGCTCCCTCAAATTTAAAATTATTATTTTTAATTCCTGTAATTTCAAAAAATCTTATTTTAGTCATTATATTTAAATTTTGTTAAGAAATTTATCAAACATTATTGCATAAAACCTTCCTATTCGTGTTCCTATTAGTGAAAATATCACATTAAATCTAGTTGATATTGCATAACTGTCTTAATTAGTCACTTTTAAATATGTTATTGGTGATTTAAGGGAATAAAATAAGATTTTTAAAAATTAAAGAGAATAAAAAAAAAAGTTTTAAATTTGAGGGACCAAAAACAAATTTACCTTAAATTTGAGGAACTAAAAACATATTTAAGCCATAAATTATTTTAGTTGTTATTTTTACAATTTTGTAATCTTTTTTATTTTTTATTATTACAAAAGATGTAATTTAAAATAATTTTAATGAAATAAATTAAATATCAAACACACAAAATTAAACTACTTTTATCACTTCAACATAAACCATACAACTATTATAAAAAAGTAACAATGATTACCAAATTACAAATATAAAACTTAAAAATTAAAACTATACTGTTAATATTTTTAAAAAAATAAAAAGTATTTATTTTAAATTATAAAGACTTAAAAAATAAAAATACTAAAGAAAAATAATTAAACCTTAAGTTTATTAAATTTTGAAGAGAGAGAGAGACGCATACTTGTTGGACTTGGAATTATTGGAGACACACAGGACACACACATGTGGTGGAGCACGCATGATGATATCCTTCCAAGTCTTGGACAACTTATTCCATTATCACTCACACTCACTAAACGACACCAGAATCGATTACGACATCACCACTAACGGCTCATGCCACCTTCCACCGCCGGAGCCGCCGTCACGCCGCTCGTTTGCATTTGCACATTCCCTTCCCAACCTACACGTACAGTTTCAAATTCAACTAATTACTAATTAAGCATGCATGCAGACACAATGAAACCAAATTGATCAGTTATATGTAATGGTTAATTTACCAGCAGAGACGCGGAATCCACGGGCTTGGAGTTCACGGTGCTCTTGGCAAATGGCGCAGTGGGAGCAGAAGCAACTCGACAAGAAATCGGTGCATTGGTGACCCTCAATCCCATATTGCCTCCTTATTTTTGTACGGTACAAGCACGTGTAGATACCCGCAAAATATGTAAAACCACCAAGTAGACAGAAAAGTGTTCCATGTACACAACAAGCTGCATACACAATCAAATTAATTCAACACCAACTTCACACATGCACTTAGAATCAATCATCACACTCACAGGTTGTTCCTTGGTCCACGATCTCAGCTATCCTTCCAAAGCTAACGCAGGGGCAACACAACGTGAGGCAGCCTGCAAGTGCAACCCATAACATCAAATCCACTTTATTTTGTGTACAGATACCGTAACTTTATGTGATAGTAAAGATATGAAAAGAAGCTAGCGAAATAATTAAATAATATATAGTACAGTTGCCGCAATCAGAGAAGCAGTCGCATAAGCCAGTCGACCATGATCCCACAGCACCCTTCTCGGACATTTTCTAAAACAAAATTCTGAGTGTGCACACTGTCGCTTAGACCTGAGGGCTCGCTGGATCGTTAATAATACAAAGCCAAGGTGAAGGTGGAGCCCATACAATAATAGCATAAATATCCAAATGCTTCGTTAAACTCATTATCACTCATTTCATTTTTAAAACTTGAGTGCATATTTAATTTACCCTCGCAAGTCGCAATCTCCCAACTCTATATGAAATTACCGCTTTTTTCTATTAATATATATATATATATATGCTTGTATTTTAAATCAAGACCAGTTGTCACAATTTCTTTGGTCCAATTAGTGGTGCAGTCCGTCTTCAATACAGTCAAAGTCTAAAAAAAAAAAAAAAAAGAAATTAGTTTTTGACAAAGTTAAAAGTCCAATACAATGATAAAAGAAAAAATACCGGTTGACAGTATCGGATTTTAGTCCAATACAATGATAAAAGAAAAATACCGGTCGACAGTATCGGTATCAAAATTGTATATTTATTCATGAATGATTGGTCTGGACTGTATTGTATATTTAGATTTTTGAGTAATTCGTTGGAGAAATGGAGGGCAGTTTAAGAAAAGTGAGGGGTTTTTTTTTTTTTTTTTAAAAAAAAATTGTTTGGTTTAGTAATTTAGGAGTAGAAAGAAGGGGAATGACTTGGGGTTGAAAATAGGGATTACAATTTTATCTAGAATTTACGAGCATATGCAAAAAAAAAATAAAAAAAAAAATATAGAGATGGTATTATTAAGGTCATAAGGTCATACCCAAAGTTATTTCGTAAAATTGAAAATTTCAATACTATTAAGATCAAGAAAATTTATTAGATTATTTTTTGTTTGTGCATATAAATAAACTTTAAAAGACATAAAAAATATAGAGATGGTAAACTTTTTTTGTTTATGTAAAATAATTTAAAATGATACTTAGAATTCGACTCTTATTCTCTATTATGTAAGAAAAAGCTTAGTCTACCATCGAATTTGATCAGGTCAAGTTGGTCTTCTCCTGCTCACCTATAGTAGGACTTCAATCCATCATCATAAAGTAAAACTTTAAGCAATTAACTTTTAACAACTAATGAGATATCTTGACAACATGAATATCTTTTAAAATATCATAATCAAACATATTATATTTACCTAACGAAATATCTTTAATTATTAGGAATAATATATATTTCCATTAATCAACAATAATAACTTCATGCAATCATCGAAATATATCTCTGAGATATCATATAACATCATCTACAAATCTAGAGATATGATCAATTACTTATGTACGAGGCACCACATATCATTCTACCATATTCTCATTCTTAACTAAACTCTCCTTTAACTTGAATGTTAAATTGTTTTTGTAGGTACCGCCACCACCATGGATATCAAAGCAATCAAGATGTCATCCCCACTGTTGGAGAACTTGCAAATTTTGATAAGAACATTTAGCACCTATCATGGGATTGATAGCATGCCGAATCACTATCAAAAGTAAACTAGATTTTTCCTAAAATTTGTAATATAGGGAATAATTTAGGTCATTCTTCTCGAAGACACAAGTCAATTGGATCCAAAGTTATCACATAATTAGAAAGGTGATTTTTATGAACAACAAAGAGAATTTAGAATATTACAAACACAAACATGAAACACAAACGCGATCTCACAATTTCATTGAAATTCAAGAATGGTGAACAGGTCGATTTAGGTTATTTTACGTCTAAATCTAAATATAGATATAGATCTAAAATTAATCTTCAAATCTGATCTAGATCCATTAAAACAAAATTTATAATCATGAAAAATGGATCTAGAATGGAGAAGAAGACAAAAAGAATTTGTACGGTAAAAATAAATTGGGAACTCGAATTTTACTGTAATTCATGAAACCTTGAATTGGATGAATGGATTAATCACACATCTTCATCAAGACATTGCAATTCCTTTGTGTAGAAAACTATAAAGAGAAAATTCTGAAAGAGAAGAGAAAATTTAGAGAAATTTGTAGAAGAAACAACTCTAAAATTTGAAAAATGAGTGTAAAGTGTACATAACAAGTCCCACAACACCTATTAATAAAGAAATATAATTGGCCTGATCAGAATATTTACAAGGCTCAACCCACTAAATCATCAACTAATTACATCTTAAACAAATCCTAACATTACATATTAAAAAAATAAAAAGAAAATATTATACAGGGCCCCAACTTTGCAACGCACTTTTGGGTCACTTAATGTCTGAATTGGCCTTTGCTCTCAATAGAGAAGTTGTAGAACTCTCTCAGCACTAGTGCAAAAGAGGCTTTTTACGTAAGTTATTTTAAGGTTTTTACGTCAGAAAAACTTCCGACGTTAAAGCGGGAAACGTAAATTTACGTCAGCATTTAACACCGACGTAAATTTACGTCGGAGATTTTTGACCACCGACGTAAAAAAGTTGCAAAACCCAAAAAAAATTACACTAGAACGGGCCGTTCTGCAAGGAGAACAGCTCGTTCTGCAATGAGAATGACCCGTTCTGCAAGGAGAACGCCATTTTCTCCTTGTAGAACAGCCCGTTCTCCTTGCAGAACGGGCTGTTCTCCTCGCAGCACAGGTCGTTCTCCTTGCAGAACGGCCCGTTCTCCTGAGAGTCGTGTCCCTAACTTGCACTAGTAATCCATATTCAAGATCCATAAGGCCTTGTACAAATTTTGCACTCCTTGTCATACTCTGCTCCTGTCTGCAGCCAAAGATAAACATTATGATACCATGCAATCTGGTGAATAAAGAAAATAGAAAAGCGAAAGGAGTGAAGAAGATAAGAAATGAACCTTCGAACGTAGGAAAGAAGCGAAGAACGGGAAGGAAATCGGAGTGTTCCCAACCAATGGCACGCGAAACGCATGCGAAACAATGCATTTTTGAATGGAGAGGCGCTACGCAACTTAACTATGCATTTATAAAAAGCTATTTTACGTCGGAGAACAAAGGGACCGACGTAAAAAAGTTTGCATTATTTTCAAAAATGCCACCGCGTCATTTTTACTTCAGATATATTTTAGTCCGACATAAAAACACAGATGTAAAAAGCCTCTTTTGCACTAGTGCAACTTTCTAGGGACATCAAGAATGTCCAAATCTGATATCGAAAATTCTAGATATGGCTTACACAAGAAACAATATCAAAATAGGAAATTTTTTTGGAAATTAACTAAAATGTATGACTAAGACCAAAATGACTTAGTAGAACAAGTCAAAACTAATATATCATGATATGATACTAATAAAAGTCAAATAAACCAAAAATAATTCATAGAAAGATATACAAAAATTGATCTATCAAGGATCAAAGTGAAACTATCCTCCACACACACATGATTCTCACTTGAAACCAGACAATGAACAACAACAAACTAGGAACCTCCACAACAACCGACAACTCAAGCTTAATCCCAAGGTACGTAGCAACCTCTAGTTTTCGTCGCTGCAACTCTATTTGTGGAACCTATGGCAAATACTACCACCATGAGCTCGTCTATCACACCACAATGTCAAATTATTGCAGTGTGTGGAAGCCATGCAAAGACATAAAGAAGAATCCTTTGGTGCCCTTTATCGACAACGTGAGATTGATCACGTACGTTACGAAAAAAAACTTTGGGCATGTCAGGAGAACAACAACATTCACTCAAAAATTGTCGTCCCAAAAATGGAGGAGTACACGACCTTTAGATCGACCTGAGACACCCACATTGTCGTCCCAAAAATGGAGGAGTACACGATCTCTAGATCGACCTGAGACACCCACATTGCATAAAATTCCCAGCTCGATGAGGAGAGTCATTCCCTTCCTCAAGTTCCCTTAGGGCAGCTAGTCGACGAACATCACAATAATACATTCACCAACGAAACCATCATGTTGAGCTCAACATACAATACCTACAAAATAAGCACCATAAGGCAAGCCGAAATGAACATGAGCTCTCTTTAAATAAACATCGAAACAAGTTCAATGTATAATTTTATAGTTGGAAGCTAAATTAAGGAGGTTATTCTTATATTACTCCATGATATAACACTAATATCATTGCTAGCTATGTACATGCATGAAATACACTTTATTAATATTTGAATGTGTCATCCACACCATGATATGACATCACTACTAGCTATATGTACATGCATGAAGTACACTTTACTAATATTTGAATTGTTATATTCAATATTATTTTGATAAAAAATTTTTGGAAAATGCAATGAAGCTATTTATTATTTTACTATCAAAACCTTTTTTTTTTTCTTTTTTTCCTTTCCTCAAAGTTGTAACAACTATCATATGAGTCCCCTAACATCACTCATAAGTAATCATAAACTTCCAAGTTCATTTGTGATTTTCAGTATATGTATATGCGTGATTAGTTGTGTGTCGCACAGTGTGACGGCTATGTCAAGTCGTTACAATGTACCATCGAGTTTGATCAGGTCAAGTTGGCCTTCTCCTGCTTGATATCTTGACATGAATATTTTTTAAAATATCATAATCCAACATATTATATTTACTTAATGAAATATCATTACTTATTAGGATTTGTTAGGATACAAACAAGTCCCACATCGATAAAATAAAACAAGAAATAACAACTTATATAACACAAACATACTTCAATGATTTAGAGGCTTTTTGGGTAATGACCAAAAGCAAAACCGTGAGGGCTAAGGCCCAAAGCGGACAATATTTCATCATTGTGGAATATGTTTGTGAAATAACCTTATAAAAATAACTTTAATAAAATATCCTCTCAGACAAGTACCATAAATAACCTCATTAGGATTAATATTTTCACTAATCAACAATAATATCTTCATGCAATCACTGAAATATATATCTAAGATATCATATGACATCATCTAAAAATCTAGAGATATGATCAATTACTTATATATGAGGCACCACATATATATCATTCTACCATATTCTCATTATTATCCTTTAACTTAAATATTAAACTGTCTTTGTGGGTACCTCCACCACCATGGATATCAAAGCAATCAAGATGTCATCCCCACCGTTGAAGCTCTTGCAAATTTTGATAAGAACATTTGACACCCATCATGGGATTGATAGCGTTGCCGAATCACTATCAAAAGTAAACTAGATTTTCCTTAAAATTTGTAATATAAGGAACAACTTAGGTCATTTTTCTCGAAGACAAAAGTCAATTGGATCCAAAATTATCACATAATTAGAAAGGTGATTTTTATGAACAACAAAAAGAATTTAGAATATTACAAACACAAACAAATTCAATCAAAAATTATATCGATTTAAGGTTTCAATCATTAGGTAAAATTTTAACAATTCAAATTATAATCCAAATTCAATCAACCTAAATCAACATGAACGTAACCAAAATGTAGGTTTAAATCTATATCTATTGAATTTCATAAAAACATGAAACATAATCACGATCTCACAATTTCATTGAAATTCAAGAACGGTGAACAGGTCAATTTAGGTTATTTTACGTCTAAATCTAAATATAGATCTAAATCTGAAATTAATCTTCAAATATGATCCAAGTCCATTAAAAAAATTCATAATCATGAAAAATGGAAAATAGATCTAGAATAGGGAAGAAGATGGAAATATTTTCTATGGTAAAAATAAATCGGGAATTTGAATTTTACCGTAATTCATGAAACCTCGAATCGTATAAATAGATTAGTCACACATCTTCATCAAGACGTTGTAGTTCCTTTGTGTAGAAAAATTTGGCAAATGCAATGAAGCTATCTATTATTTTACTATCAAAACTTTTTTTTTTTCCTTTCCTCAAGGTTGCAACAACTATCATATGAGTCCCCCAACGTCACTCATAAGTAATCATAAACTTCCAAGTTCATTTGTGATTTTTGAGCAAACGAGCTCTCGTGCCCTTCACACAACCTTTATTCACACATGATTTTCAAGAAAACAAGCTCTCATGACCCTTACATGAACCTCTGAGTTTGTGCACAATTTCTAAGACAACGAGCTCTCACGACCTTCATTCATATGCGATTTATGAGCAAATGAGCTCGTTCGTTACATGAACCACTGACTTCGAGTGTGATTTTCAAGAAAATGAGCTCTCAAGCCCTTCACACACATTTCATTCACATGTGATTTCTAAGCAAACAAGCTCTCGTGTCCCTTACACAAACCTTCATAGTGTGTTTGGATGGAGAATTTAAATGGAGTAATTCATTTATTTGAAGAATTTCAAATTCTTTGAGGTGAAATACCTTGTTTGGATGAGGAATTTATAAGGAATTTGAAATTCAAGCATTTGTGAAATTCCTTGAAATAGTAGAATTTCAAATTCTCCCAAAAGAGTAAGAATTTGAAATTCCTCATATTTTTTTCTTCTTATTTCACTTATATATTTTATCTTATCTCTTATCTCTTCATGTTTTTAATTATTGAATATTCAAAAATATTTTTAAAATTATTAAATATTATCTAATATTAATTTTTAAAATTATTAAATATTTAAAAATTAGCAAATATTTGTTTTTATAAAATTTAATTTAAAAATCTCAACATATAAATATATTTTTAAAATCAATTTTATCATGATAGAATCAAATTATCATATCCAACCTAACAATTTAAAATTTGATAAATTTGAATTGACTTATCCAAACAAAATATTTTAAGAATGATAGAAATTGAAATCAAAGTAATTCAAATACCAAGAATTTAAAATTCCTTGAATTTGTAAAATTCTCCATCCAAACACACCATCAAGTTAATTCATGCATCATTTTTTAGCAAACAAGTTCTTATACCCTTCACATGACACTCATTTATACACAATTTCTAAGGAAACGAGCTCTCATGTTCCTTACACAAACATAGTTTGTGCGTGATTTTTAAGTGAACAAGCTATTGTGTCCTTCACAAAACCTTCATTCATATGAGATTTCTGAGCAAATGAACTCTCACGTCCCTTACACATACATCGTTCCTACGTAATTCTTGAGTAGACAAGCTATCACACCTATAACAAAGACAAATATGAAGATGACGACCAAATCACTACTAGCGAACAAAATCCAAACAAGAAAATCAACATTTTTTCATATACAAAACAACAAAACACATAGAATGCCTCTCCTATAACATGGAATGCCTCTCCTATCACCTTAGTCATCAACATCTTCAGAAGTCTTGCCCACAACAACAATATTCTAAAAAAAATTCATGCATAGCACCGAGCTTCCAAACATCACGAATTATGATAACTCCTACACTTCACAATAGTGAGTTGCCAAGTACACGCGGTGTCGAGCTCATGAGCTCTCATTACTTAACAACCAACCACAAATTTCCAAATCCCAACTCATTCCTAAAACTCCCAGACCAAGAATTCCCTCGTGCCCTGATGACTACAGTTTTCTAACTCATACATACACAATAACACAATGGGATGTCAACAACCAAACCTCTTACAATGAACAAGTTTCCATATACCACAACTACATCACAAAAGCAATAAAACAATATATGCAAACAAACATAGGCAATATGTCTGAATAGCCATTTTAAACACATTGTTCAACAATGCACTACACCACAGATCACACAAAATAGAGAGCAGTTTATACATAAGACACCTCACACAAGAAAATCATCAACCATTTGGTCATCTACGTTCTTTGCAATGGTTTCAAAATTGGCAACCTCCTTAATTAGTGGCAGATCGACCAAGACATTGGCTACTGAAACTCCATCAACATCATGGATTTCAACCACAATCTGCTCGAAAACAAGCTTGATAACACCACCCTCGACAACAAATCTCAATAGTTTCCCATTGTAGCAACCTGAACACTCGCCTCAAGCACAAAAGTTTTTTTATTTAATTCAAAAACCTCCTCAATCACCTTGACCTCAACCACTACGACTAGCCCCTCAAAACTGGTTTTTGTCTCCTCACCTTCATGTTCACTAAGGATGTTAACCTCATTCACAATAAAAATACCAAAGCCAACATTCAACTTACCATAGGGAAGCTTAGCATGAAAATTTCCACTTGGCGAATATTTTACTAAAAACATTTTACGTGCTTCTCATAAATAGCCTCCTTTGTCACTAGAAGCTTCTCATCCAAATCCTTCTTTTCGCCTAAAAGTTGTCTTATTTCAAGGGTTAGAGCACCTACCTCGTCAACAAGCCTGCCACGATACAAGCAGATCATCCCACTCAACAACAAGCTTAGCCATTTCAACAGAATGAACTCCCTTCTCCTCTAATAACCTTTTCATTTTATTTCTTACTTATTTCTTCCATCCTATCAAACACAATGTTAGTATTTTTAATTTTATAAACTTGATAACTTTTAAGTAGAAAAATAATTAACTAAAATTTATTAAAAATTACGCACTTGTATGGATCTCAAATAAAATTCAATAAATCTCATTCATGAACTCATAACTCACAATTTACAACAAATTTTAACTAATTAAAAAGATATTGCTATCACTCATTATTTAATTATTATTAGTTTAACATGTATCACAAGATAGCATTGTCATGATGTCAACAAATGAACTAATTTTTGACAAAAAGTAATTTTATACAAGAAAAAGTGGTGCAAACAGCACCACCCAAATAAAAAAGGGTAATTGGGCCTGGGTGTGTAGGATTTGAGCCCAGCCAAAAACTGGAGGGCGGGTCCACTGAAGTAACTTTCAAAATGACGATGATCATACATTGAAGATGCAATGCAAGAGAGAAAAAAAGGAAAGGAGAAATGGAGTTACGTGAGCTTGGAAGAACCGGACTCAAACTCAGTACCGTAGGTTTCGGAGCTTCTCCACTCGGCAATGTCTTCGGCACTGTTTCCGACGAACAAGCCATCGCTTCCGTCAGCCTCGCCTTTCAATCCGGCATCAACTTCTTCGACACTTCTCCGTACTCACTCTCTCATTTCCCTTTTCAAACCAATGGCATCAACGCTTTTTCATATTCAATCTCACTAACACTTTCTCTCTCTCTCTGTCTGTGAAATGGAAGCTACTACGGAGGAACACTCTCCGAAAAAGTGCTGGGGAAAGCTCTAAAGGCTCTGCAAGCTCCAAGAAACTCGTACATCGTGGCAACCAAATGCGGACGCTACAAGGAGGGTTTCGATTTCAGCGCCGACAGAGTAACGAGGAGCATAGACGAGAGCTTGGAGCGCTTGCAGCTTGACCACGTCGACATTCTTCAGTGCCACGACATCGAGTTTGGTTCCTTAGACCAGGTAGTAGTAATAATCGATTGTAAACTGGTATTGCCGTTTATGAATGTGAAGTAGTAATCGATTGTTGTGGTAGATTGTGAACGAGACGATTCCGGCGCTGGTGAAGCTGAAGGAAGCGGGGAAGACGCGGTTCATCGGCATCACGGGGCTTCCGCTGAGCGTTTTCAGTTACGTTCTCGATAGGGTTCCGCCGGGGACGTTGGATGTTGTGCTGTCGTATTGCCATTACTGCGTGAATGACTCTGCGTTGGGGGATTTGGTGCCCTATTTGAAGGCCAAAGGGGTTGGCATTATCAATGCTTCTCCGCTGTCTATGGGCCTTCTCACTGAGGCTGGCCCACCTGAATGGCATCCTGCTTCGCCGCAACTCAAGGTGTGTTTATCAATTACTGCTAGTTTTTTATTTTTATTTTTATTTTTTTATGGTCTATATAATATTTTTAATTAACTAACAATTAAAGGTTAATTTGTGCTTTGCGGAGCGTGTTTTCCATCAGTCAAACATTATTTTAACACAAAAAAAAAAAAAAATTTAAATGTGGAAGCACTAGGTCGACCCGAGTTATAGGACAGGCCTTGCAACCAGTAGAGCAAGAGGTTTGGTTCACTGCTGGTTTTGGTTTGTGTTTGTGTTCTTATTGAAGCATGATTCAGTTCATATTAGGTGGTGAATGAGCACATAGTTGAGTTTCATTATGAAACTACATTATATTTATGTCTCTTTGTGTGTGAGAGAGGGTAAGTAAGAAATGTGTCCGTCCCAAAAGTTGCAAAAGTTTGTTGTTTGGGATTAAATTTTTTATGCACCTGCAATTTTCTTATCCAAATGCAAAATGTTTGTTTACTATAAGATCTGAGAGTGGTTAATATATGTAAATGGAAAGAAAGAGACCTAGTTCTGCTGGAAAATGTCAGTAAACAATCAAATAGAATAAAGCATTGAAATTTGAAACTTTTTTTATGAGTTAAATATAAGTTTTTGGATAAGCTAATATGAAAGAACTCCTACAAATTAGTTTATGAATAAGTTAATTTCTGCTTATTTTATTTTTTCTTATTTTTTTTCTCCTAAAAATGTTTTTGGAAAAATTTATCCAATCAAACACTTAGACAACCTATTAGAAGAATATTTCTTTCACTATTCTTTTCCCAGATTAGGGCATTATCTTTGTTAGTTTGTTCGTTCTGATCCGAGTATTGTGTCCTGCTAAAAGATGTTCTCAAACGTCTTTAAACTGCATTTCTATTGAATCTCTGTTTTATGCTTATGCTTTTGTATATTTTAATTTGGAAACTTGCAGTCCGCATGCCAAGCTGCTGCTGCTCATTGTAAAGAAAAGGGGAAAAACATTTCAAAGTTAGCATTGCAGTACAGCTTGTTAAATAAGGAAATCTCATCAGTGCTTGTAGGCATGAAATCTGTTGAACAGGTTCGGTTTAACAGTCTTGCTGAATTTCCATATTTAGTTGTATATATCTTTATTGTGAAAATCTCTGTTATTTTGTGGATAATGAGTGAAAGCTTGCTCTGTAGCTTTTGTATGGCTTAGTCTATAAAGTAGTAACCTGTGTTTGTTGTTTTCCTTGAAACACGGGGGAATCTTCCTCTGTTAAATATGTACGCATTTTTCCATCTGTCCTTTTCATACCTACCAACTAAATGATAAATAAGAAACCAGTCATGAGCATAAAGGTATATGCTAATGCAATGTCTTTTTATCTAATACTGCAAGTTAATTGACAGCACTGTATGAGTAAAATACATACTAAGGAAATTTCCGGGCTCTAATTCATGGTAGTACTGCAAAATGTAGCTGTTTGTTTTACTACTTAATTGACAGCACTCTTTTCCATTTGATTATACGTCTTTTATCATATAATACCATGTTATTTTGGAGTATCGATGGAGTTCATAGAAAGTCCTTTAAGAGTTGATATTGTTGTTTTGCTGAGCTGTTAAAACAGAAGTGATATAAATATTCTGTACTTTACTGTTCCTACGCTATAAGATGAAACATGAACATTCTAGCAGGATGATTATGTGAATCTATATTGTGTTCCAGCTTTTTCTTTGAAGGTTTTGACTATCAAGGGGCGGGGAGGAAAGACATATTCTCTGGCATCTTTTTCTTTCTATTGTACGGATATTTAAAAACAGTTTACAAGCAACAGACGCTTGTTATGTTCAAATGGTTTGCGTACGGTTCTGCTATTCATACTTAATTATCAATTGGGCAAAGGCCAATGCAACGTAATTAGGATGTACTATAGGAAGTTGTATGAGTAGGTAAACATGTTTATATCCTCTCATACTCCACCAACAAATTCAATTAACTCAGATAGCTAGTGCACCCCAGTTGGGTTCACTAGGTCCGTAAAGTATTATTGGCAGTTGGCACATCGTTAAATAATGATCCACATAGTTTATTAACTATTAGCTACTATAATCAATAATGTGTCGATACATTATTATTTGTTAGCCTAGTACACCTAACTTTGGTGAAACTGGTTTATGCAAAATTTTATCGAGTTCAGTTTGTGTAATACTCCTTCCATCTCAAATTGATTATAGTTTTAGTATTTGAAAAATGTGTCAAAATGACTGATGTTGTCAAGTTTGTGTAATATTAATTTTTTTTTTCCTAATTTGTACCCACATTAATTTTTCAATCACAACAATTAAAAGCAATGTATTTATTGAGAGGGTAAAATTATTTTGGTAAAATTGTATTTAAAAGTGATATATTTATTGTTGTTTTAAACTGTGTAAATTTCTTAAATAGTCATTTTGGGACGGGGAAGTATGAATTAGTCACTTAAAACGAATGACCTGTTCTAACTGGGACAATTTAACAAATTAGGTGGAGGAAAATGTAGCTGCGGCAAGAGAACTTGCAACTTCTGGAATTGATGAGGAGGCTTTGTCTGAAGTTGAAGCTATTCTAAAGCCTGTTAAAAGCCAGTCATGGCCTAGTGGAATCCAGCAGAGCTGATGTTTATTCTACTGCATGGTATTGGCTATGGAGACATCCGCGCCTGTTGTTGAGGATGTTCTTTACACCTGTAATCCCATTAAGATAAATAACTCTGACAGCTACTAAGATCCACTATCTAAATAATTCTTGTTTATAGTCTAGACTCTAGAGTGCGTTCAATAATACATTTCTCAATGCGTCATTATTCAATGCTCTTCATCTTCGGCTTCTGGAGAGTAAGGACCTGTCTTCTAGGTGTGCCAATATATATATATATAGTGGCCTTCTTATGGCTTTGATCTCTATTTGGATGAAGCTAGAATTGTTGTTTGAACTGTTTTGTAAAAGCAATTAAGAAATGGCAATAATTTGTTCTCCCTTGGGTGCATTTTTTTTTTAATTTACTATAAATTTCTGCATTGGCTTGTGATGATTATTTTTTTTTTGAAAATCATTTATTCTTATGATAATTATTTTTAAAATACGAGTAATGTTATCTTATTAGTTGATAATGTAAAATTTGTTACACTTACTGAAAATTAAATTCATTTTAAAAAAAATGAATATTGCATATTTTTGATCCGTTATCTAGAAAATGATGCAATTAAAGTTAATTTACTGAGATGAGATAAAATATGAGCTATCTATTCATGATTTTGAAATATTGGTTGTATGAATGAGAAAAATCCTTGAAATTTTCATTGAAGTGATTTCAATCAGAATATTAACCTCCAGTTTCGAATTTCCAACGATGCATGCATAGTATATTCAAAGAAGAATATTTCTCTTTTATTGTAGACTCATACGGATGTAATCGTATCTGTTAGTCCTCCGTGCTATTATAAATATGTTGTCTCCTTGTCCTCACAAGTACAACAAACAATATCAACTCTATTACCTTCTCGCATTTATGTGTGAGGAACTCAGAACAATGAGCAACTCAAGTTCAACATTGGGCCTCTGAAAGCCCTCGTGCAGGCCTTCTTCAAGTCCATCGTAAACATTATTTATTATAATCGCTTGAAATTCATCATGAACACTTGCGTTACTAACATTCATAATGCGAATAAGCAATAGTCACCGTTCCTCAACTCTACGTGTTTACAATTTAAAATGGAGCTAGTATACAAACCATGAAGACGAAGATGACTTTGTTGAGATAACTCAAACTACTTTCACTTTAAAACAATGACTTTGTTGCATTTGCATTTTATGTATTAGAAAGTAAAATCACATTCTAATGTTTTAAAACAGATAACCAAACCCATAAAAATTAAACTACAAAACCTCGTCTGAACTGAACTCGAAATTTAAAGTCTAAAGTACCAGCCAAATACTTTCCTTTTTTACTTTTATGTTTTCAAGGATAATTACAAAGATACACTTTTTTTCCTTTATACCTGCCTGACAAGACTTGATACACGAGTCAACCAAATTATCATTACCTTTTTTTTCATAGCTACCTCCAATTAGTTTATTTTAATGTAGTAAAATTAATTTTAACCTGTTAAAGGTAATCAAAATATTTATTAAAACTCATCTAAATCATAAATTTAATTGAAAGATTTAATTTTAAAATGGGAGAATTGATTTTTCATCACCAACAAATATATATAAAATATAAACTGTAGGGCGTTTGGACTACCTTTATCTTGTATTTTTAAATACACAACTTTGTTCCTGCTTTCAAAAATTTTGCAAATAGTGAAAAGGGGGGGAGGGGCGGAGTATTTGGTCATGTCAAAGACGACAACGTCGACAAGAGACTGCAATACCTTCAAAGGATATAATGAAGAAAATCACTAATGCTCAAAGAAAAATCAACCGAGATTTTTTATCATAGGAGAGGCAAGACACTGTAATACCTTCACAGTATATTTTAAAGAAGATCACTCTTTACAGCCAAGATTTACATTATACAACAATATAATTGTGTCTCTTACCATCGAATTTGCACTTTCCCGAGTTGTATAGATCCCACGTCAACGGAAGGTTAAGAGTAAAAACCATGCTGTAAATCGAGAGGCGGCAAACGTAAACCTCAAGACCAACACGGTCAAAGCTCGTTATCATTTTCCACATCTTACACCAACCCATTTTTCATTCATGCCAAGCATACCATTGAAGTCAAAAGACATTTGTTCTAGCCCTTTAAATACACTTCCTTAAAAAGTAATGGATATCCCACCAAACAATTGCACAACTGTCAGAATGAGTGTATCAACAAATAATTTGTATTTTCTGGTGGCCCAAAAGAAAAATGTTTTATTTCTTTGTGCTCTGTAATAAAATGTACATGTGTCAGTGAATGAACAGCCAAGCTGTAAATGACTATCATCTACATATCTACCATTTAGAACTAGGTGATAATATAACAAAGGATGCATGAACACGGCATGGCAGAATGTTCTAAGTTGCAACCTGCTGTAGTGGAGGCCAAGTAATATTATCATCATTTGTATAGCCCAGAAAAAGGAAGTCAGCACAATTCTTCCAACAACCGTGGTTATATGGGTTTCTGAACCGCCCATCAGGACCACGAAGATAATCATAACGAGAGGAATTTGCTAGTTCATTTGTGGTCACATTTCGAGCAATCTGCATTACAATTTACAAACATGAATAACCTTCTACAGTTACTATCTTGAAGGTGTTTGAGTAACAGAAAATTAGAAACTGAATGTGATCGAGTGAGATGCTTGTGCACAATGATGTATATTTCAAAGATTTCAGTTCAGTGTAAAAAGAATGAGGTAAGTTGCTCAACTGAAGGAATGTTGCAAACTACTTTGACAATATACCAATACCATTCACGGATCTCCTTTTCCTAACGGTGACCTTTCATTTTTGGAGAAAGGTAAACAAATACAGAACATATGAATTCCTGCACATGAAAAGGTGGCTTCCGGCAAAGGGAAACTTGTCTCTTTCTCCAAAAATGACACTCATTTCCTAAATAAAAGGAGAGGATCAAGATGTATCATTGACTATTCCATGTTGGGGAGTTATAATAATGAGCAGATTAGAAGTTCGCAATGAGCACAAGAAGCAACAGTGGGAAGATAAGAAGGCAAATTTATTGGGGGAAAATTGAGCACCAGAATACAAAATACACAAAAGAATTGACAGAATTGGCGAACAAGTGAACGCTAAGGTGAATGTTGAAAATAATGAAACCATATGAACTTTCAAGAGTTTACATTAATAGAACATAAGAAGAAATAAATACCATTGTCAAAGTGTGCATTTACATAGGAGTGATAAATGGATGGATTGGATAATTTTTTAGGCGAATTATAATGGATTTGATAAAAATAATCCATTTAGATTCATTAAAAATTAATATAAAAATTCAATTCATCCAATTCATCAACGATTTTTTCATGGATGGATATCCTATTCATCCATATAAATAATGTTTTAAAAATTAAATAATTTTTATTATTGGAAACATTTTATTCTCTCTTTTTTTTACAAGTCATTACATTCTTATATAGTCTTTTAAAATTCACAAGACACCTTTTTTTTTTTGTCAAAATAGTCTTTTAAAATCTAAATTTAAGTAACATCACATATTGTGATCCAATGGATTTTGAAAAAATAGTAGATGGACCACTAACCACCCATAAAATTAAGCCGATGGATTAGATCCAATCCATTATTTATTTTATTGTAGTGGATGGATTTAATCTAATTACTTGTAAATGGATTAGATGGATGATGGATAAATGAATTCATTTGTCACTACAACATTTCCAGAAGTGAGGATTGTCAACCATTAGTTCATTGTAAGAAAATTTGAAGAGCAACTGATAAAGAGAAAACTATGGCATTCTGAAAAATCCATACTGACGGAAAGGATTGCCAATTAGAAGCAAATGTAACCTGGGATAAAAATGATGGTACTGTAGAATTCATGACATCATATGAAAGATTGCAAGTAATTTTGTCATTGGATCTGTTAAGAACCAACACACCCAACTCCTTTGATAATTTGATTAAAAGGAGTAGGGATTGCGAGGGAGAGATATTGTGTCATTTGTGAGGTGCAGACCCATCAGAAAATCTAGTCATTCTAACAAATATTTTCCCTTCTTGGTATATTTTAATAAATATTTATCAATAGTTCTTTTCAGTAATTTTTCACCAACACATTTGGTGATGCAGACCTAAATGACTATTGGTTGTGAAAAAAAGGCGATTATGGATAAAGCAATCACCATGGAAGCCTGTGTTATCGTTAATGTTGTAGCCGCAATGAAGACAACAGCGTCCACCACCAAAAACACAATTACACCTTGATGTCTTACTAGCACATAATGGATCCATGTTTCTCCTGCCAGTAATGATGGTGTGGATGTGCAAATTCCTGTCATGGAAAACAAGGCTGTTATATAATTCAAGCAAAATAATAAATCATACAATTTCAATATGTAGAATGGTGCAAAAAAGAGATCTTCAAGACATACTTTGAATTGCAATGGCAGCAGAAAGGGTAGAAGTCAAAGTTCCCAGGCAGATAAAAATAAAGAAATCTCTTTTGTTCCTCTGCAAGATGCATACCAAGTATGATATTAAGGCTCGTAGTATGCAGACTGAGGAAAAGAAGAAAAACAACTCTTGGTTTGAACAGAAAATTCAAATAGAGCATCTTATTTCCAAATAAAAAATATTGAGGAAGGAAAAAATCTAATTGATTTATCACATATCCATCTATTATAAGTAGAACCGAAAAAATAAAATAAATCTTATAAGAATACACTTTTTGATCTCATGGGCAACAATTGAAATAGCATAATAATCCTTACCTTCCCAACACAGTTAGAAATCCATGGACAATGGTGGTCGAACTGTTCCACACATCGCTTACAAGTAGGGCAATGCTTAGATCGGACAGGCCTTATTATCTGATGATACAATTCGAGAAAACCTGATAAGCGATAGCTTATTTTGAGAATCTAATAAAGTAAAACATAAAAGTTTCAACACTAGACTTTTTAAATACTCAAAAGATTATGTGTAAACCTTGCAGGTAGGGCAAAGTTGAGACCAGTTTCCCATCCAAACAGAGGAACTATTCAGATCAATATTCAATAAAGGATCCTGCAGAATATAAAACATACAATTTAGAGATTCTAGAACAAACAACAGTAAATAAGTGTATATTATAGGTAAAAGGTGCATTCATATAAAAGATATAAACAATCATATGTTTTTGTCAATGCTCTAGTGAAATCTTAAGGAGTTGTATCAAGTATTGATGTCACATGCATCACATCCATCGTCAGCTGAAATAAAACCAAGTCATTTCTAACTATATGATATCTAAGTTGCAACATGTGCGATTGCAGTGTAATTGCAATGTTCATATGTTTATACCCCAACATACTACCATAAAATAAATAAATAAATAAGAAAGAGAGGAGCCGTCCAAAATGATAGTTCACTCAAAAGCAACATTGTTTTACACAACAGCCATGAAATAACCACATACCTCAGTATCACTTTGAGTGCCCAAGTCTCCTGGCCGTTTTATATAACCTGGATCTTTACTGCATAGGATTGAAATAGCATCAATAAACTAGCGTAGATTGAAAGTTTAGAATTAAACTCAAAAGATTTTTTTTATATTTCAGCACAGATTGTCAAGTTTTAGTCCAAAGTCCTAACTCTTGGATCCAACTTGAGTTCCTAAAGAATTTTATTTGAGCATTCACATCATAACAACAGGCATGCATCAGTAGAAGGTATTCATTCAAAGCATATAATATCACACAAATACGAGGAAAGTACATATATGTATATTACCATATCACACAGAAAAACAGAAAGAATACATGACAAAGAAGATTACCTACTACACCTATAGAACATAATAAGGGCACCAAATACCAGAGAAAGTGCTGTCCACGACCAAAGTCCAACAATGGCAGTAATCTTTTTAAGGTTAGGAGCTGGAATTAGTGAAAATATTCAGTCAAGGTTCATCACAGAAAAGGATAGCAAACTGGCATACAATTTTTAAAATACCTGCAACAACACAGTTGACGAAGAGGATTGTGAGAAAGATTATAATACACAATAAGATGGGAGCATAACCAATATCTGTCACCATCCCACAACAAAGTTTCCCTCTCCAGTAGTTGTTATGAGCCCGTTGTTGATTTGACTGCAAAAATATAACACTATAATCAGTTACATAGGCAACAAGAGTATAACTGCATAAACAAATTGCAACATGTCACTGTTCCTATGCATTTTTCAGAAGCAAAATTTAATGGTTAAAGCCAACAGTATCATCATTCATCATTCTAAAATTAATTTATCCATTTCTGCCAGATACAATATACTTCCATTTTTTCACCCAACCTAACTTCAGAAGAGTAAGCAAACTCAAAGTACCACCATGGTTAATTATTATCAGTCAAAAAGTATACAAGAGTAAGTAGCAATGCAAAGTAATGCAAAAAGCAGATCACTTTATTGGTAATTCAGTTCAATGATGGCAAATATTGATTATTAACATTACTCCTACATTACCTATAACACTACCAAATACAGCTAAACTATGTTGCTTACAAGGATACTTTTTTTAATAACTTAACATACATCCTTTTCTCACATCTTAAACACCTGAATACTAAGAAACAACTCCTATTTTATCCTAGCATCATGATCAGTACAGTAATATTTAAGGATGTGTTAGGGTAAACAACTGAACTTAGCACATACTCAACAAGTGCTTTGCATGTAATGTAAGCACTTATGTGTAATTTATTTCTATCACTAAAAAGTAGGGTTAAACTATTTTTATCACCTACCTTGTAGAGCTTATTGAGATAAGTTGAAAACAGCTTATGGACATATCATAATCTATTTTCATAGGTGTTGAGATCCAACATCAACTAAAGATATGGTCAATGTAGTCCTTATAAGGCTTGAGTCATCCTCACCTCACAAGTCAACTTTGTGAAATTGAGTTAGATGATAAACCCAAATTTTAAGATAATATCATAATCTATCCACGGACCACAATTCGTTATTGGCCCCATATTTGCCCATTCTCTAGATATCTATTACTAGGCATGAAGGGGGTGGTGTTATTGGGTCACCCACATTTGTCTTATGGGTGAGGGGGTGTTTAGATCTCACATCAATTAGAGATATTGTCAATGTAGTCTTTTTAAGACTTCAACAGTCCTCAACTTACACCCAGCAGCCTAAGCTTTTGGGTCCATCCTCCGGGTGTTCATTCTTATAGGTGAGGGGGTGTTTAGATCTCACATCAATTAGAGATATCATCAATGTAGTCTTTATAAGACTTCAACAGTCCTCAACTTACACCCAGCAGCTTAAGCTTTTGGGACAGTTGGCTAATGAAATGGAATCAAAAAGCCCCTATGACCATGTGGCCTAAATCCTAATTTCCCCTAATTATTTTAAAATTTAAAATAAAATTGTTAATTTCAGCACAAGGTTAGGTAGGACTGTGCATTGTCCATATTTCATGACCAAAGGGTTCTTGCATAAGGTATTAGATATAAATATCATTCATGTGCCTTCACCCAATAACTCAAGATTTTGGGATAGTTAGTTCATGAGATGTATGTTTACCCGTGATCTCCTGCACTTGGCAAGACTAAATTTAACAATATCAATTACAACAAGTCTCATCAAGAATGTTCTTAAAAATTTACAGAATCAACAGCCTCATTAATACAATGTTACGTACAAGGAAAGGAGCGACATGCCGATGACCTTTATCATATGCAAGCTGTACAGGAGTGTGTCCAGCATTGTCCTTCACTGACAATTCTTCCTTTGTGCCTGCATGTACAAGCACAGCGCATGCCTCTGCATTTCCTCTTAAAGCAGCCCAGTGCAATGGTGTACAACCTAAACCAGTTTTATTGAGTGATTATCTTGGGGAAAAAACAACTGAAACTTGAAAAATAAAATAAAATAAACCTGTTTCAAAAATTTTCATTAAATAACTTTAATCTAATGTAATACTCCCTCCGGTCCTTTTAATAAGAAACAAGTTATAGTGCAAAATACACTATCACTTGTTTCTTATAAAAGGGACTGGAGGTAGTACTTAATAATAACATTCAAACTTTTACGACTTTATCTCAAATGTCAAGAACATAAAACCTCAAATCTGTGCTCCGAACAAACTCTTGAAACTATAGACAGGTCTGAAGCATCCTAAATTTCAAATAGATAAGTTCAGCATATGAACCCCCTTGAACCAGAAGTATCAAGATCACGAAATCATTGTGTACATGATATCCATAGTAATGCATAATAATAATTAAACCTTGTTCAATCTCATATATTATTCAAGCAAAGCTTATTTAGTACTCATTACCAAAAATATGAATTCCATATTACATCTACTGCCATCCTAAAGAATAGCTAATCTCAGCATATTATAGGCTGGCTTCAAATATGTTTATGCTGGACTGTCTTGACCAAATACTAAAAACTAGAGAGAGAAGAGAGATTTCGTATATATATAACATATAATTGGGAACCTATAAAAATGTAAAGGAAATTAAATGCCAACTTGGTATACCATCTTTATCTTGCCTTCCTTGACTTGCATCTCTAAATAGGAGCAATCTTATTGTGTCGGCAAATCCCTTATATGCAGCCCTGGCCATGAGAATTAAATAAGTCAAATAAGCAAGAAAAAAAATCATTCTCTTGAATGGATTTAGTTTGCTGAATAAGCAACCATACCATTACTATTAGAAACAATCATTTAGGGTGAGCTTCAGCAATTTGAACAATACATTTACAAACCTAAAGTACATCAAAACTCTATGAAGTGCATGGAAACATTCCATTGGTCAATACTCCATTAAATTAATTGGTTTAGGAAAAAAAATATAAATTTTAGCCAAAGCATAATCCACATTATGTATTTAAATGAGAGATTTGAACTAATTTTATGAGTGCATCTGTGCATCAAAAGCAAAGGAAAGAAACAAATGGTGGAACCATGACATTGACAATCAAGTAATTATCAAAATAAGGTTTCTTCACCATGCATAGCAATCAAAAGTTTCATGGCATACCAATGAAGAGGACTCCTTCCATCATTATCAGGCACATCAAAATCAGCATGGTACTTTACTACTATGTGATTTAGAAAAGCTGTCTGTCCATACTGTGCAGCAACATGAACTGCCTGCAGGGACCATTTAACTATGAAAATAGCACAACACTGGAAACATTTAAACAGGTGGTAAGCAGAATAAGTTCAGGGTTTTCCTTATACAGAAACAGGTGTTAATCAATCTCACACTGCAACCCACATGCTTGCCTATTTTGTACCCAAATACCAATACAATTTATAAGAAATTACATTTATTCAAAGGAAAAAAAAAACACTAAATTGGCGATAATTAAAATCTAGATATCTTTTTATAATCATTATAAGTAATCTTCTAATCATTGATATTGAAACAAGTCCCAGTTTCATAAACTACACTCCTATCTTGCTTCTTTTTACCTAACATATATTGCTTATTCGCTAAAACGAGATGAATACTTGTGTGTTAAAAAATTACTATAACTTTTCATCAATAAATCAGGTGTAGTTGTGATACTCAGATATTTGGATATAAAACAAAGAATAAAAATTGGGTACACAGTCACCATTCAGACCTATAGAGTTGGATACGGGTGGTTAGTAAACAATTAACATTAGAAAAAAAGCTGTTGGCATGAATTGAAAAGCGGTCAATAATCCAAACTAGAATATGGATTTGGAAGCAAGAATTTTTAAATGTTAAAACCCACAATCCAACCCATGCCTACCTAATCGACTTCCCTAACTAGAAAAAAGAAGCAAATGGTCCTGAAAATTTGATGGAACATATCCATTTGAAGTCTTAAACAATACCCGGTATCCATTCACGTCAGCAGCTTCAACCCGAGCACCATTCTCCAGGAGCACATCAGCAGCAGCAGTTGAACCGCGAACCGCCGCCCAATGCAACGCCGTTTGCTGCATGCTGTCCTTAGCATTCACATCCGCACCATGCTGCGAACGAAGTAGGGTCCAAATTAAAGCACATTGAATTCATGCACACATGAATTTCGAATTCCGAGCTAACCTGAATGAGATAGTGCGCAATGTCGTGGAAGTTGTTGAGCGAGGCCCATTGAAGAGCGTAGTAGCCGCTAACATCGGGAACGGAAACGGAGGCAGCGTGGCGTTCGACGAAGGTTCGCAATTTGTGGAAGTCGCCGTGAGCAGAGGCGGTGAAGACGTCGAGGATCGGAGGTTGGTCGGTGGGTTTGGAGACCGACGTTGATACCACCTCGATCTCCGACGAAGCCATTTGTTAGGGTTTCACTTTCAGAGGCTACTTTCAACTTTCATTCCTCACTCCCTTCTTCCTCATTCTTCTCAACCCAACCTCCATCTTTTTATTATTATTATTTTATTTTTATTTTCAATTAGATTCTTTCATGCGAAAATCTCTATTATTAAGATCTCATATCTTTATTATTATTATTATTATTATTATTATTATTATTATTATTATTATCATTATTTAAATCTTTTTTCTCTTGTTTTATTTAAAAACTCAGCTTATATTATACAGAAATATCAATATTAAGATACAAGTTCTAAAATCAAAACAAATGTCATATAGCAGGATGCAAACTCAATATTATATAATGAGAGTATTAATGAATTTGAATTATCATGCCAACTCACTTTAATGAACATCCTAATTAATTTCTTATTAAAACAATATTTTTTTTAATTCTTTAAATATGAATTAAATTTTTTTATGATCTTTTAAATTTAAAGTAATTTTTTAATGTATGTAGTTAGAAAAGAAAAAAAAAATTTTAATATCACATAAAATCAATCTATCATATCACTTTTAAATAGAAATATCACGTCAAATTTAATTCACAATGCATAATTAACTTAATTTTAAGTTCTTATATTCTCTATTTGCTTTATTATATTTAGTATTCTTTTACTTGCAAATCAAAAAAAATATATATATATATATATAACAAAAATTATTAAAATTCCAAAGTTGTCAAAATGTAACTTTTTGCAACAATTTGCAAGTCAAAATTAATATATCACTTGCAATATCATTAAACTTGATTCAAATTAATTCGATTAACAGCCCCTTTGCCATGCATTATTAGGCTTTACAATTGCATCATGATATACATGTGTCAAACTTTATATACACTTAGTTATGATGCAATGGTAAAGCATAATGAGTCGTATTTTGACACTTTTTTTTGATAAATATTTTTCCCTCGTGCTGTGTTATCCAATGCAAATTCATTTTTACCCTACTCAAATTTTATTCTAACAACATGTTTTAACCTTTATTTTGACCAACGCTAAAGGACATGTTATAGTAGTAATTACAACGTTAATCCCTAGAATGTGAAACATTAACCTAAGAAATATTGTTTTCATAAACTGAAACATAGGAGACCAGGGACGGAGCCAGGATTTCAATACTGGGGGTGCCATATAGGGGGTGCCATATAGTAATATACATATGAGTTTATATTAAAAATATGAGTTTATATTAAAAATAGGGGGTGCCATATAGTAATATATATGTATATAAAAAAAAATTAAAATTGTTGGGGGGGCCGTGGCACCCGTAGGTCCCCCCTTGGCTCCGTCCTTGTAGGAGACGGTACACGTTGCCAAGATAAGAGCTAAAAGATGGACAAAACTCTTAAAATATAACGCTAGTATTTAAATTTCAATGGTCATAGTTTGGAACAAATTGTGCCTGGAATGGCAAAAAAGATATAAAGAAATCAACGTCCTTGGGATTAACGAGATATGATAATGTTTCGAATATTTAATCATCAATTGGAAAAGTTTTGGTAAAGGCCAAACTAAATTTATTTAACAAAAGAGAGAAAGGGAAAGAAAATAAGTATAAGTGTATAACCGATTATATATTTTGTTTTATAAATATAAGAATGATTACTCATATGATAATAAAATTTAAACTTAAAATATTAGAAATATCACTTCAATCTTTTACTATCAATTTTAATAGTATTTTTTTGTTTTTATTATATAAGAAAGTATAATTCTATTTCATAAAGTGGTACATTTACTCATAACTTTATAATCAAATGAAAGATAAACTTTAACTAAAATAAGAGATAAACTTTAATTTTTAGTTAAAGAACACGAGTAAAAATATACTTAAACTAACGAATTTGGGTACTTAAATGTTATAAATTATATATAGTGATGTCTATATCTCGTCATTTATCCACCATTGTTAATGTCTCGCATAGTGTTTTCTTATTTTGTTTTGTTTCCCTCTAGTTATCCATGAAGAAAGAGTTTGAACATTTTCCTGCGCCCGAGTACATTTGAATGATTTAATGAAACTGCTACTATGTCTGAGCAGCAATAGACACGACATGCTTGTATAACATGCCAGATATATTCTACTTTATTGGACCACAATTCTTCAATTAGCAAACTTTGTTAACTTAGATATTGATTCTTTCTTGGATAACAGAATCTGTTTCTGAAAGTGTCATCTAATTCAACAATGCTCAAAGGCTTTGGAGGAATTGAAGGAAAGATTTTCAAAAGGGGACTACTTCAGGTTTTCAGACTTACTGCAAAAAATCCATTCCATCAAGCAAGTAGACCGCACTATATAGACTATTTTATTGAGCTAAAGATCCTATAGGAAGAATTGGAGTCATTGAGACCAACACCAACTTGTACATATGATGTTAGATGTTCGTGTGATCTTTCCACCAAAGTAAAAGATTACAAGGACACCGAATATGTCACATGCTTCCTCAAGGGTCTTAATTAATGATCAATACAACACTCTCAAGAGTCAAATTTCCGTATATTAAATATATTAGTGACAACTAACAAGAAAGATTGAAACGAGTTATCTCTTATCATCATTAATATGTCATTGTGGCAGTTAAAGATGATAAATAAATTTATATTCATGAATATTGTTCGATCTGTTCTGATTTTGATAAAAAATATTTGATTTGAATGCACATAGATAGGAGGAGATCGAGAATAGAGACGAAAATACCAAAATCCGTACTCATTCCACCCGATTACCATCCCTAGTGGCGGCCTCATTTGTCTGGTTGTAAACTTAAATTTGGTGAATTATGCTTTGAACTCATTAAAAAGATCAATTCCTGCAGTAGAACTGTTGCTTTTAAGTGTACTCATATAGTTCTATTTATGAGTTTGCAAACACTACACTACTGTTAATCGGTCGTGGATGATAAAAGAAAATTCTGGTTAAGAAGTATAAAAGCGACACTTGGAAATATAAATTGATTGTTGGGGCATGCAGTTGACACAAAAAGAAGCATTAAGAAGTCATTAGAAGCAGTTTTACAGATTTGTACAAACTGAAATGGTTATGACAAATTGTTATATCATGTACATGAGTAGTGGGTACTTACAAGGTCATATGAAATTCAGAAAATTACAAAAGGAGCAATAAAGTATTAAAAGTTGAAGGATCATGACTAGCAGCTACAAAGTTGAAGGGCTTGTTCGAATCTCTTATCTACGGTAGAAGGATGAAGCACGCAGTGCGATTGAGGTTGAATCCTATTATTTTCTGATTGGGAAAGCCATTTGAGTGCAGAATGTTTGAACCTAGAAAGAGTTGTTACAGATGATGATGAGGGTAGCATGTTAGTGAGTGATGGGGCGTGTGTTTTGCCATTGTGAGAGAGCAAGAGCATTGCTGCTGTAGGAGCCATGGATAATGGATAAGGCAAAGTGATGTGAAATTGGTATTTGTACTCTCATAGAGGGTAGTATCTGTGGGCGATGATGCTTTACCTGTTTCTTCTTGGAATCCTTGTTTAGAAAAAGGCCAAAACCATAGAAAATGAAAACCGTTGACTGGTTTTCTATCTTTCCCAATGAATCCCTATTATAAAACCATGTTCAATACGTTGAATACCGGTTACTACACACATACACATGTCTCTACATTGGTCTTTGAGCTCAACCTTCATAATTTTACTTTTGGATATCACCCAAAAATCTTTTTATTGATGGGGACAATTATTTATATATAAACCCAAGTCCATCCTCTTGTTTGAACGATATATGATTTTATTTGTATCCCAATACAATAATTATAATTATACAGGATATATAAATATTAAATATCTAAATAGATTCTAGTTAAACTGAGGTGTCTACTGCAGTACTCTATATAAATGGCATCTGTCAATTCTTGAAAAGGAGTCTTTATATTTAAAGGTTCCTACCTAACACTAACTCTATTGGTTTTATAGTGGCTCTGTGTGAAATCATATACATGATTCATTTTCTCCTGTTCATGGTCAAATAGGCAACAGAAGCCAGTCTATGGGCAACGTTCTGCATGTTTCTTAGAATGGTTGTTTATAGTTAAAACCATGGAAAATGGAATCTTTTAACTGGTTTCGTCTCTTATCTGAATAAATTGCCTAAATTTAAATAACTCTAATTCATATAGTTACACAGGGTAAACAAAAATTCTAAATTATTTTTGTTTCCCTCATAATGATTTCACAAGACTTAAAAAAAACTAAATTATATCAGAAACATATAAAATAAAACCCAGACATGGTTGAGAGAAATTTAAGAACAATGAATAGTTAGATTTAAAAAAATATAATAAATAAATAATATTTTATTTAAATGGAATAAATTGATAAATATATTTAAAAATGTATAAGATTTGTTTTTTTTTTTGGATTGTTGTGGATTACATTATGTTCCATCTTTAATTACGAAGTGCCGCGCTTATTATCCTGATCACAAATATTTTCCATAAGAGATATTTGTATTCAAATAAAAAATATTTGGAATATAATAAAATTAGCTCTTCAATTTTTAAACAAAAACATCACTTAAACTAATTCTGTGTTGGTTGAAATAATTTAAGTAAATCTAAAGAAATTAAATACACAAGAAATTATCATGATAGATGATTTTTGTTCTCATCTCGTATATAAATAATTTTAGGCATAATGCCACACCTTGTTAGTAAAATTATAAATTTTAAAACAATTGCATTATAATTAGCAATAAGAGCTTTAAAAGAAATTAGGTCACTTAAAACTAGTAGCTTATTCTTTTTTCCAATTTAACATGTAATTTAAATTTTAAACAAATATCCTACCAAGACTAACAATTACTCAATTTTATTTTATATATCTCCCAAGTATTGTGTGGATTTACGTCTATTTAGTTTATATATATATATATAAAGAGAGAAAGAGAGAGAGAAGCGTAGAAATTAACATGACAAGGGGAAGAGAAATTGTGCAAACTTTACCAGCGGCATTAATAATTCAATTAGACTTATCACTTTGATAAAATAAAAAATATTCTACCATCATCCAAAGCCAACGAATTGGTCTCATAAGTATCCTTATATAAGAACATTCAATTAAAGATAAAACATAAAAAGGCATATAATTGCACTGCAGAACCAAGTAAAATAAAATAAAATTGGACAAGCTGATATATATTTACAAAGTTATGCCCAAAATGGTGAAACATAAACCTAAATAATAATCTTTAACAAAGTAGAGATTAGACAGTCAAGCTACCAATATGGACCATTGTATTTCATTTCCTTTACTTAGCAAAATGATACTTACACAAAAAATATAAAGCAAGGGAAAAATTTCAAAAGAAAAAATTAAAAAATAAGAATGCTTTAGTATTTACATTTCAATGGCCATCATTATGCGAAACAAAATCTACCTAAAGAAATCAGCATTGCTGAGATTGATGAGATGTTGATGTTTCAGGAATTCTCTCTTCAAACAATGGTGTTGTGCTTGTCCGTTCGACGCTTGATACTTCAACCTCACTATCTTCATTATATCTATCCACACTACGCAAAAATATTCCTGCAATAATAAACAATACCATAACACATTATGACTTAGGCCAGTCAGAAAACTTTTCTATATATTATACATATGTTGCTCAAGTCCAGCAATAACATTAATGATAATATGTTAAAGAAACTAGTGATGTGATATTCTTGTAGCAAATCAATAGAAAGTTGCCATAATGAGTTACCAATGAACCATATTGCAGCTGCTGGAAAAAATATAGTTGTTAGAATCAATGCAGTCGTTCTCCAATTATTAATATTATCCTGCATGATAGAATCTCCATCTTAGTATTGTACTTGGCATAATACATTCTGTTATTTACAAAACATTGCCACAAAGGCGTCAACTTATTTGTCATTTTTTTCCTTTGATTTGAGGAAAAGTAAACTGCTTCCACTTAAAAATTGTAACAAATACAACTTAAAAAAAAGCTAACCTGCAACACTCCAACAAGTGGTGAGGAAGGTACATCTCCAAAGATATGAATAGCAACAGTAGACATTGCCATTGACAGGGGCCTCAAACTTGGTTTAACACAACGGAGACATACATAATTCACAGGACCCTAAGAAGAAAATTGTAAAAAAAAATGGGGAGCAATAATTTAGACCAAGAATTCTAATGATCACAAGCCATAGATTATACATAAAAATAAAGTAACAGAAAATTATCTAAGCTAGACATAGCATACAAACTCTATTCCATAATTTCCACTAAAAATTGTTCTTTAAAGGAATAATGATAAAGAAAGACGTAATGTACCCTAACTAGTAGATAAAAGAAGAAGAAAAAAAAGGATAACACCAGAAACAAATACAAAAAAGAGTTTGGAACTACAGATACGCCATGTCTGCACTGTGCACCATCTTTTTTTGGTGCCAAATTTAGCAGAAGTCATTTTGCACCTCATGAAGTGTGATTGAGCCAGACATCCATTCGACTAAAATTTATACTCTATATTTTGCATAATTTTCAATACTGTCCTCATTGATAATATTTTAGCCCTGTGAAAAGGCAGAGGGAGAGAGAGACCAAAAAGGATATTGGAAGAAAGTGTTAAGAGCGATCTCATAGTGAATAATGTCTTTTGAGAATTTGGTCTTTAGGTTCAATAGAGTTGTGTTATTCATGTAGCCGATCTCACTAAGTAGGATAAGAGTTTCGTTGTTGATGATATTTTAAATTAACTTTTTTGTTTATGTTATGATAATAATTATTTCATACTCAAAAGTAAATTTAATTAACATTAGCTTAAAAAAAATTCATTCTTTTGGAGCAAGAAACTCATTCCTCCAAATTTGATTATTTCAAAATACGTCACACCCAAAAGCCAAAAGTGGTTACACATTAGTCATCATCCAGGCACCCAGAGGTTTGGAAAAGCAAGCTTGTGTTTAACTTCCCAAATGTATTAGTGGTTTTTCATAAGAATACTAAAATATAATAATTTATTAAGAATATAGCTTAGGAACTTCGAGACCCTCAGCTAACAAAGGAACACTCAAAGTAGCTGATATACTAAGATGACAAGCACATATATAGTTTATCATGTCTTACTACATTTACAAACAAGCAAACATGAACAAATCTTCCTCGCAGAGAAGTGAAGTACCTGAGTGGCAAACACAAGTAGTTCACCAATAGCAAAAAGAGCTAGGAATCCATACTCGGTTCTAAATAAGAAGGCACAAAAACAACAAGCACCACCGATAAATGTTGTCACTGAGAGAAGCTGCAAAAGAATAGAAAATGTTCAGAAAATAGCAAAGGAAATTCTATGAGAATCTTAGGAGTGACAATTATGCAGAGAACACAATATGAGTCAGTATGCATGGCTTACTGATTCCATTGATCAAGTCCATTACAACTTCAATCATTGCACATGTACACTTTATGTGGTGTATTATAGAAACCAGTGTTGATAAACAATGAAATCGTTTTTTGGCTGAGAATACACTTTGAATGATTAACAAACGAATTTACTTGCAGCAGACTTTGATAAAAGAGTTTCCCATATTTTACAGAAACAAATATTAATTTAAAGAGGCAAATATTTTCAAAACTGCAACCATTATTTTCAAAAACAAAAATGAGGCATAATTTGATCAATTAAATATCAGATGATGTGACTAAAAATAAATTTGCCTATTCGGCTACAACAACATACCCCTAACCTCTTAGTGCAATCTAGTACAAAGGATTTTGATGAGGCCTAATCCCAATTTTTTTGGTCAACTAAATCCAGTTCATCTCATATATATCCATACAAGATTGAAGTTTATATTAGGAACGACTCAGGCATAATAGTTTACTAGTGCAAATCCAGTTATCTGACTTAAATTAGTCTTCAATGTGTAAAAAGTAAAATTAAAAAATAAAAACTGCATAGAAAAAAGCATAAACCTGTATAAATAATGCTAGAATTTACACTCAGAATTCAAATACCAACCTTAAATGCATTTGATATGCTGCTAGTCATGAAATCAAGAACAAAGCCTCCTCCTAAGGTGCCAAATATTCCACATACAACAGTAATTCCTCCAAATATCATATCTGCATTAGTCTGCCAAAGTAAATTGTTCTTAATTCAATAATTTAGTGTAATAGTAGATAATAATATTGCATTTCACCTGAAACTATAAAATTACTGGGTATTTACTTATTTTAAGCATGTAACAAGATAAAAGAAAGAATGAACAGTTATGTTAAGTAAATCTTATGCATACTTGTGGTCATTAGATGAAATAAAATCTCACCATGTGATATATACTATAGCCAACTTTGGGTCCCCAATATGAGTAAGCACCTAATACAAAGTTGTATGCTATGTAACCTGCAAATAGACATTCATGAAACAAAATTGAATGGATGTATAAAAAAACAATATGATTGTTGAACATAATATACATATAGGTAAAGGAGAGATATATGAAGTTCCCAAAGAAGTAAGGTAGTCACATGGAAGCTTCTAAGATGAATTTAACAACATAAATTAAATCTCAAGAAATAAGTTGATACACATGGTAGACCAGTACGAGAAAGAATTACCTAGAACATTGACAACAAAAACCTTATTAAGCAAAAGTTCTTTCATATCTTTCAGAAATCTTGAGAACTGGTCTAATATTGTGGTTGCAGATTTTGACCTAAAATAAGACAGGAATCAACAAAATATCATTTTATATATACATCAGTCAGCCAGTGATGTCAGACACATACAATAAATTGATAGAGGGGGAAGAAATTAGTTTAGAAGGATGGTGGAATAATCATTCTCAGCTGGAGGGAGAGAATTTTATCCTTAAAGATGAGAAATACTGGCTGGAATAAAAACACCACTCAATAAATCAAGGATAGGGGTAGTGTTCTCACTTGGAAGGTTCAAGTGAGCTTTTGTCTCTGAACTCAGACTTCAAGGATAATGGTTCATCTTTTCCATTTGAAGCCTCCACACCTTCTCATCATATAAGTGGATTTTGTTAAGTAACAAAGAGATATTGTGAATCAGAAGCAAACCAACAAAACAGAAACATAATTTTTTTTAGTTAACTGAAAAGAATTTAGTGGTGTTGACCCTGTCCCAGTGAAAAAGCATATTACTTTCCACACAACCATGAAAGGGAAATGGCAACAATCACTTCAACCATAGACAACTTTGAGCCTTTTATGCAAAAGAGTAGTTTTGATTACCGAAGAAAACAAGTAAACCTAGTTGTTTGATAAAACAATAACCTGAGAGTCTGTTCAACTACTAGGGTTTCATGGGAGTGGAATAGATTTTATCCTTTTTCAGATAAAGGGAAGTCACAATAATACCAGAGAAATATAGAAAAGAAGGATCAAGAATCCTCCAATAAAAAAAAAAAAAAAACGTATTACACAGTACAAGAGCAATAACCAGGGTAAAAATAAGTTTAAAGGAGCAATTAAAGAATAACACAGGCACATCCCACAAGGGATAAGCTGGTAAGAATCTATAGCTAAAAAAGTAAAATTTCTTGATTTTTGTATAAAACTATGAGCAGTGTTGACTCTGTAGAATATCCAGTATTTAATTTCCTAATATGCACTTACTTATAATGGGGATATGCTGCCAACATATAAGTAGTGTTATTCTAGACTTGGGTGCATGGTGAACACAATTCATAGTAATATATCTATTATTGAATTTCGTAGTGCGCACTTATTTATAATTCTAAAGTTTATATTAAAACGTGGATATGCTGCCATGTATGGGGTTTATCATGAACCTGAGTATATCTAAATTAACATTACTCTTTATAGAATTTTCATCACCGTAAATTTGTATTAGATGCAATATACTCTTTCCAAATTAACATAACCGTACCTTGAACTTCTGACCCAACTATCTCAACTGTCAGTGCCTTTTCTGAATCAGTAGGGGCAAAACCTGGATGCACAAGTAGCTTAGCAATGGGAAACAATGTTAGGGTACTACAGAAAATCAATGCACGAGAAAAATGTGCACCTTTCAGCTGCAAAGGCTTCATAACAAATCCCAAAATAGCAAATGGAAACATCAATATAGCTTCCACCCAAAATGCATAACGCCAACCAAAATGACTTCCAACCTGTTTATAAACAATGAAAAGGATAAAATAAGAAAAAGCAATTTAAAGGCAAGTAAAAAAAAGAAGATACACATGATTGTTTCTTAAGTATAAGTACTGATACTGCAAAAGAGAGTTCCTAAACTTTCCATCCTAGATTTCCTTTACCTATAGGTCGTCCAACATTTTGTTTCTATTGTAATTGAAAGGGGAGGAGACAATTGTCATTCAATATTTATTATAAATGAATTACTTAAAACTTCCTTTTTACTTTTAAGGACCTGCTATTTTAAGATTTTTCTTATCTAAATCATTTTACTTTTCATTTGGTTTTAAAAATTTAGTTAGAGAGTTATGCTTCCATCCTATATATAATTTTAAAATTTATATATACCATTGTACCTTCATCATAGATTTTAAAACTACAATTCAATACTGGCATTAAAACCAAAGGAAATCTTACCAAACCACCATAGACATAGCCAATTGCATATCCTGCTGGTATACACATGTAAAATATGGAAAGCCATGCCGTTTTCTGACACACACCAATATAAGTTAGGTTTCCACCATAAAGAAAACAGATAACAACCACAATGACATATAACATTTCAACTACCAAGACAGGTAAAGAAAACATCAGTCAGTTTTATCAGAGTATATGTAACTATCTATAAACCATTAAGATGTTGAACGGAAGCAAACATACAACTAATGATTAAAGTAAATATCCCACATTAGTTCTTAATAACATTAAATGACTAAAAAAAAGTTGCATCAGTTCTATTAATATACAGTGCTTTAGTATTCTAAAAATACTGGAAACAGTATTTGTTTCATTTAGTTATGTAATGTCCAAGCTGGTTTATGTTCTTGACAAAAACTGTTTTTTTATATAATGATGGTTTTGCCAAAATGGACAACCAACTAAAACCAGACAACTTGTCAAAACAAATATTCTAATTTTTTAATGTATACTTTTAAGAATTGAATCCAAAACGCAATTGCACTAAGCAGACAGCATCACAATTTAAAAGGTATTAATGATCCAATGAAGATAACATATATTCACATCATAATTGTAGATGGAGCTACAATTGAACAGGATCCCAGAAAAAAATTACTTAAAAGTTCAATAACTAAAATAAATAAGATGGCTACACATGAGCATAACAGACTATATAGAAACATTCTACGATCATGGGACAGAAACAAACCTGTGGAGCTGGAGCATTGTCATCAATGAAAGGTGCTGCAAGACTTATAAATGAAGCCTCGCCAACACCAACTAGCCTATAGAGAAATAGGGAAGTAATAAGAGGGAAAAAAAGATGATTCTTACATTGTGTACTACTATGTATGTATTCAGTACAAAACCAGCATTTGAAAAATAACTTACATGCGGCAGAGTGCAATGAACCAGAAATTGAAAGAGAAACCACAAAGTAAGGTTGCAAGAGTCCATACTGATAATCCAACTCCAATAAGTCTAAACGGGTTTACACTGCAAAATATAAAAATTACATAATGATTAACCATTTATCTAAGTCAATGATCTTAATTACAAATCATATAAATGGTACTGGGTGTGCATGACAGGGGTTAGAAATTTTCATTATTGGATGACTATGTCTAATAAACATAGGAACCTGAGTTTAATGGAGAAAAAAGGTCTAAAAATGAATAAGCTAAATTTTATGAGTGCAATCTAAAAATGAATAGATTGTTAGCATAACTAAATTTAAAGTAGGAGGAGCACAAGGCTGGTTGATTGAGTCGGAATAACTCGAGTAAACTACGTCTCAAGTAGATTATTTACTTTAATTGCCATAATGCCAAAGGACTTTCATCTACGTCATGGCAAACAGGAGGTGCAGTGTATAAAATTTCTGTAAAATATTTTTTTGTATCCCCCTCCCCTTCCTCTTTCACCTTCATGTCTAAATGGAATATGGTACAACTTTGGAGCCCCCAATATAATTATCAAAACATAAAATAGTAGAATCTCTCAATCATCAAGGAAAGTAATATTTTATGAGAATGTTTGCAAGGTGATTAATCAGTTTTGATAGAGAAATGTATATTTCAAATGATGACTTTACTGTATTTCACTCTCCCACTCCCTTAGGCCCCTCTTACCAAGATAAAATCTATCTAGTATTATGAGATATTAAGACTTAGTCATGAAACAACATGTCTCTTATTGAAGGTATGCAACAGGAATATTTTCCACACAAACAGTCATTACCTCTTTGCTAGAGAAGCAAATACTGGAGAAGCCAGAAGAAGTCCAACCATAAAAGCAGATGATAGAACTCCGTCCTCAAAATTGGTCAAGTTAAAATCCCCCCTGTATGGAAGGAGAAATCGATGTAATCAAAACTACTACTACAACTACTCGATATTATCATATGACATGTCATGTCAAGGCACAAAACAGAAGGAAAAACTCATATAGGCAATAGTTAACCTGCTGGGTATTAATTGAGTTCATGCTTCTTTTCATCCAAGACAAAAACGATAATTTCTTTTTAATTTTTTAAGAAAAACCATAAAGATAACAAATACACCAAAATCTATTTAAAGCCATGACAGCATCTTTTCTTCTTGTTTTAAAAAGAGGAAGGCCCACTAAAATCAGAGGTATCAGTTCGATAAATTAGCTTCTATTAGCCATGCAATAAACAGTCTCATCCTTTGCGAATCATGTAAAAAAACATGTTCCAGCCTATAACATAAACATAAATCAAGAATCAAGAACTAAGAGAATTTGTAAAACAAACCCAACAATCGTGCAATAAAAATTTAATACCTAAGTGTAAGACAACTACATACATTTTCACTATTTATGTCAAAGATCTTAGTATATCTTACACTTACTGTATTCCAGTTCCAGGTTTGCAGGTGCCACCTTCACAAGTTCTTCGACTTCCATTAACCCCATTGCTTGCTATTGCACCTCGGTCCAAATAGTTTAGCATGTTAATCACACAAAATATACCCAGTAACCTACAGTACAAGAAAAAGCAGATCAAGAATTTTCAAATACACCACATCATTGAATTTTCAAATTTCAACTCATTCTACACCTGCATTGACCAAACAAGAATAATACAATACCCAACAACACAAATCTAATCACGAACAAATTAGGAGAAGAAAAAAAAAACGCCCAATAGACTTCAAGACAAAGAAAACGTTCCCCACGCGCAATAAAAAAAATGAAAAAGGAAAAAAGAAAAATACCCAGACTTACTCCCCCTTCCTAAAACATACCCAAATCACAAAAATTCAAAATTTCCTTCCTTTGCCCATTTTTTTTCTCCAGCACAGATCTATTAAAGAAAAAATAAAAAGCTTACCTCTTTGGTGTAAACCATGAAGTTGTTGGAATCATGATGGACTTAGTGTCCATGTCCGGTTCCACAGAAGGCTGAGAGGAAGAAGACTGAGGCTTTGCTTCATTTTCTTGTTCTTGTGCCATGCCAATATAATAATTTTGTATAATAAACCAATATATTCTATAGTTCGATAAAATTAAAGACCCTTTTATTAAAAATTGGAAATTGAAAGGTAGTTGAATGAATAAGAGCAAGTGTCAAAGAGATAGAAGTGGCGTCGTTGGTCCTGTTCCTTCAAACGAATATACTCTCCTCTTTCCCTTCTTCTTGGTTTAAACAACAATGTCACACTTTCTTTTGTTAACAGAAATGCTGAGAAATAGGGAATATTGTAGTATTTTATAGGTGACACGATTAGATGAGTGTTTGCTGTTAACAACGAATCGCTTTCGTGATTCTGAATCCTTATTTATCAACACTCCTTTTCTGTTGTTATTCTCTCGTAATCTTTTATCACATTTTCCCAATTTAATGGTCAAACAATTGTTTTTGCATGGAGCTAGCGAATTTGAGGTTTATCATTTTAATTTTTTGTATAACTTTATTAGCTATTAAAAGAGGTTGAGTTGAAATTAGTTAGAACATGCCTCTATTTTGGCAGTAAGCAAACTAGAATATACTTCTGTTATTATTTGAAGAAAAAAGAAAGAAAGAAGGTTATAATGAAAATGCTTGGTGTAATTTTGGTATTTGAAAAAAAAATATCTAAAATAATTAATGTTTTCAATTATTAATTTTTTTAATTTATCCCTTTAACTTATGCAAAACTATATTATTAATTATATATGTTAGAATCTTGTTACGAATATAAATAGTTTTTATTTTTTTATTTTTTTCATTCTTTCATTAAAAATTATTTCTATTTTTTTATTACTTTCTTCAGAATTTTTTGTTTTTACCTTTTTGTTCCTCTTTATTTTTTTTTTCTTCCCTTCCAAAAATTTTTGGATCTCTTCTCCATAAAATTCACATTTTCCTATTATAATTTTTTTTTTAACTTTTCTTTTTCTAAATTAGCACATCTAGAATAATTTTATTGTTAGCATTTATACAATAATATTTTTAGTCATAATTTGATGTGAAATTAATTTTTAATTTTTAAAATTTATGATTCTTAATTTTTAATCATGATTATATATATTGCTCCCAAAAATCATAGTTATATATATATATATAATATATATTTCTCATACTTTAATATTAATTTATTTTGATAAACTGCAATTGGATGAATGGTGATGAGTACCTTTTTATTATTTTTAATATTATAGTAATATATGATGTTAATTTTAAAAATTATTTAGTTAATTTTTAATTTTTTTATTTTATTTTCAATCAAGATTTTATTTCAAAAAAATTTTAATTTCTAAAATGAGACAACATTTTAATAGTGTTTAAATTATAATTAAACACTTTAAAATTATATAAGTGTTAATAAACATGTTTATCAAATGTAACAACTTATTGAAATTTAAATACGTATAACATAAAAACTTTTTAAATAAAGTTTTAATTAAGTTATTCATTCAAACAAATTCTTATTAAGAAGTTAAATAATTTTGCGAGCTAAAAAAATGAACACATGATTATTTCATTTATTAATTAAATAATATAGATAATACTAGGTAATTCTATTAACTTTTGAGTTTTTTAAATGTCTCTAAAGTCTAAACTATAAGGAAAAAAAAATTGAATCATTACTTTTTCTTCAAATTTTGTAATTATATCATATTATTATAACTAATGGTCTTTAACAAATTGTTAACTTTGACAGAATATACTTTATTTATTTTTTATTTCAAATACATACTTTCTAAATAAAACTTAATAATAGGAGACATGTCTCATAATTTGCACACTTTCTAAATTTCGACGTTTTCAGTCCATTATAAACTTGCTCACATTCGGAGTAAATATAATAGTTATTTTAGTTTTTAAAATAACATGAAATAATATAAGTAGTTTTCAATATTTCATGTTCTCTTCTTTTAAAATATAATGTTATTTTCCACCAATTAAAATTAATAGAATTATATTATTAGTGATTATGAGAAATTAAAATAATAGTTTTTAAAAATATAAGAATTAAAAAAATTAAATTTGGAGACAAGAAATATATATTCCAAATTTAGAAGATTAAATAAATAATTAAATCTATCAAATAATAAAATAATATTAATTTTAAAAAATATTAGTGAAACAAAACTAAAAATATTAACCCTAAATAAGTTCAAAAAGATGAAAGAAGAACAAGGGAAGAAAAATGTACTTTTGGTAAAAAGAAAGATTGAAGATGTGCGATTGGTTTTGGATAATGACAATTTCTTTTTCTTTTTTTCAACTTGAGATCGACAACATTAAATTGTATTCATTAGTTTTTAAATTCATTGGAGATGATTCGAATAGGAACAAATATGTCAAGTTGATCTTGTTCTTTTCAAACATCAAAATAAAGACTCAACATGATTAAAGTGACCACCAAAACATAAAATATGGTCAATTTTGATAATTTTATCTTTTAAAAAAATTCTAAAATTTTTATAAGTAATTATTTTAGAAAATATATTTTATTTTATTCAAAATAAATATTTTAATATACAAAACTTTCATATTAAATCATTTTTAAGTTTTTTAACTGTTTAATACTTTCAATTTCTGTAATTAATTATCTATGCACAAGGTTGGAGGTTTGTTAATAGACCATTAATCACAAGAACCTGATTACAAATTTTGAATAAAAAAATAAAAAAAATTGATTATAAATTTTTATAATTTAGGAAACTATTTAAAATATAAAAAAAAAATCATAACCAACAAAAATATTACCACTAAATTAAATAATACAAATGCTAATATAACTTTACATCATCAAAATAAATCATTTGATTTTTAAAAATATAATTTAGGGAGGTTTAAGAAAAAAAATTAGCCTATTAATGGTTAAGACGTGAATTATAATATATTTGATAAAAAAAATCAATTGTTTTTATAATTTAACCTAAGAAGCATTTTATTTATATATGGGGATGTAGCTCAGATGGTAGAGCGCTCGCTTAGCATGCGAGAGGTACGGGGATCGATACCCCGCATCTCCAAATTATTCAATATTTTTATCAACAAGCAGTCACTGTCGCAAAAAGGCTTTTAACAAGTATTTGAATTGACATGCAAATTAATTTTAACTAATATTTTTCAGGGTAAATATTTAATGTATAACTAAAATTTATAATAAACTATATATATAATTAAAAATTATATTATATTTAAATTTTCTATAAATAAATATTGTTAAATAAATAAATTATATTTTAAATTTATGACAAATAATTTATATTATGATGTAAAATTATTTTTAATTATTAAAATATGTACTTAAAAATATTAAAATTTATTTTAAAAATAAATATTATAAATAAAATTGAAATAAGTAAAAAGTATATAAAAAAATCTCTAAAAATTCTCACACAATAAAAATGCAAAAAATGCTATTACAAAAAATAATTATTTGTGTTTGATATATAGGATGAATGACTTATATTGTAATATGGTATAATAAAAAAAACTTATATTGTCACATAAGATTATTTTAATTATTGATAATTTATTTTAATTATTAAAATTTAATTTAAAATAAAAATAATAAATATAAATTGAAATTGTCAAAATAATTAAGAGAATCATCAAAAACACTTTCATATGGATAAAACACTTATAAACACTCTTAAACGATATAACTATTCATGTTTAATAGATAAATATAACATTATTCCTTTTCAAAAAAGTATGAGTAAAATACTTCATTAGTGATTATAACATGAATCATGATCCATTTTTTATATAACTATATTATATATGACTTAAAGATAAGGTTTCTAAAACTCAAATTATAATTTAGGTCTATTGACAAAAAAAATTTACTATTAGTATTTATAAAGAAAAAGGCTACATATATTATAAAAAAAAAATGTTTCATATATTGACAAACAAACTTAATATATAATTTTTCTCATTTAAAAAAAAGATTTTAGGCTTCACTTATTAGGTCAATCTTGTCTATACCATATATAAAGAGAATGTATATATATTTTCTTTCTTTCTTATTTTATCCCTACAACTATCCCAAATTACTTGTCCTCCAATTACAAATTATCCACTATTATTTTTATCTTTTACTCATGCGTAAAAGACACTTCCTGCCTCCTATGTATTTGAAGTTAAACATGAAAGAACAGTTATTGATAAATGCAAGTAGTTTTAGGTAGTTAATTATAGAGTCTAATAATAAATAAATAAAATAAATGTTTTAAAAATTGTAGGATAAAATAATTGACAAAAAGTGTATATCAAAAAGATATATATTTTTATTAAGTATATAAATTTTGTTTGTTTTATTTTTAAACAAGTCTTATTACAGCATTTAAGTATAGAGTAATTATCCATATTGTACACAAGTAAGTCTGGTGCATTAGTTGGTTATGTGAAAAAAATGATTACTTGTATGTTTCACCTTTTTTGGTGAGTGCAAGAGGTCTAAAAGCCTCTCTGAAACAACATAAAAAATATGAAGAAAAAAATGAGGCCAAACCAGCCCCATGCTTCACTTGGTTAAAGACAATTAAATCTCATATTACAATCAAAATTCTTCTCTTTTCTATAAAGAATGAATGAAAACAATTGAATGAGACATTTAAAGATTGATTTGAAGTAATTTTTATTTTGAATGTAACCACGTCAAAAGAATTGAAGGTCTATCAGAAATAGACATGATTAAACAAGGGTCAATTCGAAACACAAGTGGTTAACCAAAGTTTTATCTTACTATAAAGTCACATGTTTATAGACATCATATACTAATTCGTCAATCGTGAAAAAAAGAGAGAGGATAATTATGCTTTTATTTAACGCAATTAAATTTCATATTATAATCAAAAGTCTTCTCTCTTTTATAAAGTGAATAAAAAAAATCAACAAAACATTTAAAGATTGATTCTTAAAGTATTTTTTATTCTAAATTTAACCACCTCAAAATTGGATGCTAAAATTTTCAAAGTGACACTTCCTTCTCCTTTTCTTGCGTTAGTCTCTTTCAAACACCAAACTAGACACACTCATATGATATTCTCAAGATTATTTTTCGTCAATATTAAAATAATATTTTGTTACAAGCCAAAACGTAGATTATTATTTATTTGTCAATTTTAAGACATAATGTGAACTATGTTTACGAACCACAAAAAGATACAGTTACCATTATAATTTGATATCACCTTAAACTGTTTACGATTTCCCACAAGAGATAAAAATTATTTTAATGGTGTTAAATTACTATACATTTTGTGGTTCTCAAAGAATTGAAGTGAGCATCAGAGTTGGAATGATGCTGTTCTACAAACTCTTACATTGGGAAGTTTCCTATACATATATTGTTAGCTCTGCAATAAAAATGACAACTTCCTGAAATCTTTCAGAAGTTATAGGGGTTAGAGGAGCAAAACAAATGGGAAGAAGCCCTATTTAGGGTTCCTCAGTGGCAGTATGGGAAGATGGGATTGATGGGTCTACTAGATTCTTCTGTCTAGGAGCATCTGTAGATGCAACCATTGAGCTTTCTTCAATACTTTGTTGGCTAAGTAAAACACCATTTCCTTGTAAATTCACAGCTTCATTTAGTTTATAATCTTGTTCTTCTGTATCTACTTCCCTCTGATTTATAACCAATGAAGCTTGATCTTTCTGATTCATTTCTGATAATTCAGATTCTTGTGAAGTTGTTGTCACTGCTACACGTTCCTCCTTTTCAGTAACTTTCACCTGATAATACAACATGTTAGTTTCTTCTTTTATGTTAGTTGCTATTACAGCAATAGTAGCCATAAAGATTAATAGATTATAAAGAACAAATTTAAAAAATGGGGCAATAGTATAGTGCTTTTCTAGATATCTAGTTTTCAAAAGAAAATTTAAATTCCCTTGAAAATAAATTAATAAGCCATGTAGAAAATATAGAAGGAAACTAAGATGTGGAATTTATCATGTCAAGGACTACATGATCAAAGAACAAATAATAGAAAGACCTTCCCACCCCTTTGTTTGCCTAAACACTTTTATAATGCAATAGAGAAAAGTGGAGGAAAAGTTAACACTCAAAATGAAAAATTAGAAGAATCTGTGGCTATATTACGGTTTGGTATGAGGAAGGAGAATGCACTTTATAGATTAAAATACAACAATAATCATTAATTAGAAAATTAATAGTTCATAGTATAATATCTTATAGACATTTTTTTTGGATATTAATTATCCTTAGATGTTGTTGTATATATATTTGATTATATCACAAATTTCAACAGCTGATTTTCTAATCAACAATTATCAATGCACTTTATTCTCCAAAGTCCACTTCTTCATTTTAGAGGAGGCAAATCTAAAGTTTTTACATATTAGTTATTACTTTCTTTCTCCTATTTCTTTGTTAGACATTCTATTAAATTCAGATAAATCCACTTAGACAGCTTACACACGGCCAAATCATTGTTTTAAAGTACCTGAAGAGGTTTCATAATATCTAATTCACGATATTCAGATTGGCTAATTGCTTCTTGAGCTTGTAGCTCCATGGAATCTCTAATAAGCTGACTCAAAAATGCTACATCATCAGACATCACACCAAGGCCTTTCAGCAGCTTAGAACCCAGGTGCAAACTAGTCTGCAAGAATAAAATGCTTAGCACAGTTTTCAAGCATCAGGGGAGGGAAACAACTTTTTGATAGTACCTCTGCATTTTCCAAAATGGCATCCGTTGCACCTGCTTTCTTCAGATCTAAAAGATGCTTCAGATCTCGAGCTCGAGCATAGATTGGGATCTGAGGAATTTCATCACTAAGTATATAAACCAAGAGAAAAGAGAACAAAATTAAAGGAAATCATCCCCCAGTTACAACTTTTTATCAGTCAAGTTGCCCCCTAATATAAACCTAACAAGTACAAGTCCTAGTGCATCAGATACCCTTTGTTTCTGTTTCTAATTTTGTTTGAGCATAAAGTTGGGGGTGTGATGTATGATCTCCAATTCAGGAATGGCATTTTTTGAAGCTTCTTAAGATAAATATAGGGGCCTATAATATAACCATTCATTTCATAAACAAATTAAAACAAAGTAGTTACTCATGCCATCATAGTTATATTTCAATTACTGGAACTTGTTATCTTCCCCCTTCTGTGCACATACAGGCTCTCATACACAACCACATGAGATAAGAAGGAAAGGGTCTAGCACTGAAGGTAGGGGCAAGTAAGAGATTATTACTGAAGGAAAACTCATTCTTAGCCTCTGAACAGCTTCAATTGTCTTCTTCTTCCCGGTGTACATTAACATGATAGCTTTGGGAGAATGGACACCAGCAGAATGAAGAACATCTGGACGCGATCCATCCCCATATTGAATTGGAAAACCAAGTTTACTAGCTGCCTGTCCAGCAGTAAATGATGGGAGAATAAATTAAAAGAAATTCCAATATCACCGGTAAGAAATGACATGAAAGAATGCTTTCATTCTCTTAATTAATAAAACAAAGAAAAGGAAAAGCTAAGAACAATGAGATCATGAATGATTGATGAGTCAACTCTTAACAAATTATAATTTATTCCACGTCTCATGTAAGGCATCAGAGAGAATATCTCAACATCTAATTAATCAGTAGTAAATTGAATATATTCTAAACAGCAGATCTCTACTCCAGAATTTCAAACAAAGTCCTCAAAAAGGAAAGGAAAAGAAAAAGGTCTCGTACAGATACTGGTAGACAATAGCCAAGCACAGTGCTCAAATAAACTGACCTTTACTACTGTGGGGTCAAGATCAAATGCCACATAAGGCCATCCTACTAAATCACCATCTCCTCTTGAAGCCAATGGATTGGAGAGGAAATTGGCAAGGACCTTTGGATTTGGAACAGAGAGAAAATTAGAAATGGAAAATATAAAAGATCAATTTTACAATGTATTGATTGATCTACCTGGCCCATTTGTCCAAATCCAAGGATAACAACAGGTTCTCTAGCATTGAAGTCAACCATCTCAGAAGCTTTCTGTTTCAGCAAATAATTTAGTAGTCAATAAACTTGCAGTTGAAATGAAATAAATCACTAAGGCATAAGCTTGCCACATATATATATTGAAGAAACAGTTATATTTTTATCTTGAAAAGAAATTGATGGCTTGAAGTATAAAATCCACAGGGCATGAATTTTGTGCCAAAAGGACCTACTTTATTTATTTATTTTTTGGTTATCATGTTATAGGTATAAAATATTCATCAATGATTAATCTCTATTGAGAAATCTAATGGCCACCTTTAATGGGATATCCTTTTGCAATCACATTTTTCTTTTACAAGGCTCAAATCCGAAATCTTGTTTAAAAAATGAGCCCAATTTTGCTTGGACCAACATAATGTTGGTAAAAGGACCTACTTTGACACATCATGCGAATTTTCATGTATTTTTTTTATTACACATCTTATGTCAGACATTTTTTTTTCAAATACATCAGTAATTCATCATTGCTACTCACAATCCTTATATGCATACACATTTGTGTTTGTGTGCATGTAACTTCCAAAATTGTAAATATTACGAAAAAAGGCATACATTCTCGGGAGCAGATTTTTCTTCAATAAAATTAGCAGCCCTTCTTCCAGCTTCATTCAGAAATGGGGTTAATGCCATTGACAATACAACAACAATTATGAGCAGCTTGTTGAGCTCAAGAGGAAGCACCCCAAGCCTGCTTACAAGAAGCCACAAATTTTTATAACTAAAAACAATCCCAATTTTCTTACTCAAATAGCATCAATGCATCATACTAGACAAATACTTACCTATTTGCTAAAGAGAAAACAACAAATCCAAACTCGCCTCCTTGGGATAGAAGCAATCCTATTCTTACACTTTCTTGTAGAGTAAGCCCAACACGAGGACCAATTGCAGTTATGATCAATGTTTTTATGGCAATTAAACCTCCCAAAAGTGAAAGTACATTTGGCCACTCTCGCAAAAGGAGCTGTAACAAATAAATAATAATTATGGAGGATAAAATATAGGTCAATCCGTAGTTTCACAGTGAGGGTGTGTAAATTTCATGCAAACGGCAAGTTGTTAGAAAATATATTCCTTAATTCATGGATCTGGCAAAGTTTCTATCTATTAAACTTCATAAATTCATGGATCCAATTGCATGAAAACAGATATAAATCACTTAGATGTCATTCAAACAAGGACCTTTTTTTTAATGGAATAACACAACAGGTGTATGGGTAAGCTAGCGTGAGTATCATCACTTCAAGATAACAAGAGGAAATAACTGGGGTATTTGAATTTATCCAAAGTACACATTCAGTATGTTTTGATTTACTAGAATGTTACATCACAGGTGATCAAAATCTTGGGCCACTATAATATCTAGTTTGATGAAGGATGAATCTGATAGTCAAAGTTTGCATATATGCACAGACACCACTGTCCAAATAATATAATAAACATGCTTAGAAAAACTAAAAACCATACTACATATATCATAAGTGATAATCATCATATTTACCTGCATGTCAATTGAAGTTCCCGTAGTTAGGAAAAACAACCCAAGCAACAAGCCTCTAAATGGTCTTATGTCAGCTTCAATCTGGGTCCTGAAATTTGTCTCTGCTAAAATTGCCCCAGCTAAAAAAGCTCCAAGCTGAATTACAATATTTCACACAATACTCAAGTTAATATTCAATTTAATGATTCTCTACTATCCCAAATTCAAAACCCTAAACATTGGAAAATACAAAACCGTATCACTGAAGCCCAAATTCTGTGTGACTAGTGAAGTCCCAGCAATAGTCAGCAAGCAAAGAGCAACAAAAGCCTCTGAGCTCCTTGTATCTGCTACAACCTGAATTTGACCAACAGTTTACTGCCTAAAACATATCAAAAAAACATTTTTTTTTTGGATAAAATGCTTTCTTGAAATATATTTGACAGACCTCAAAAACTCGTCTGAGAATGTACTTTGCCCCAAGAGAAAGCAGACCCAATCCACCTAATGCCTTTAAACTTTCTTGAGCAAGCATGGGCCAAATACTTTCCTCAGATATATTCTAGAATGAAAAATAAGAAATCATGGGATGAAGAATGAATACAAAAGTTGATGTATCTGATAATAAAATAACCAATGAGTTTATTGTAGGAAATATAACAGTCATGCAACAGACCATAATTGTTAACCTCAAATTTACAGTATGTGAAAGAGAATACAAGAAGGAAAATTTTCAACAATAGTTGGTAGAGTCAGATGGCCAAAAGATCACATCTTTTGGTACTAAAAGAAGGACAAACTTACAATTTAAGAGGAACACAACTAGCACGATAATGTAACAAGGTTTGCTCACACACACATGCGGACATACATTGAGAATTTTTTTACTAGATAGGTATTAAAACAAAATGTACATACAAAATATTTGGGGGAAGTGAAGGGTCTGTATCTTCAACAACATGACTTTCCAAGATTTTTAAGCTAAGGGTTTAACATATATTTTATATTTATATGGGGAGGAAATTTCTAATCCTTTATATATATCAAGGACTACGTATCCTAAGATCACTTGGTCACAAAGACTCTAATACTATTTAAGGAATCAACTCAGCTTATGCTGTTAGGAGCATGCTCATGAACAGTTTTATATCTAACAATGCACCAGTGGCTACCATATGGGACCTTGTGGCTTGTATTATTATTCCCGCCCCCAAACACAATTTTGAAGAAGAGATGTGCTAACTTTATCAGGTTTCTAAATGTTGTATTGTCTATTCAGATTGGGATGAGTACAACTGTACAATTATATTACAACTTACAAGTGTTATGTGTATAATCCCTGCCCATATACTAATCATAACTTGAATATACAGGCTCATACATTAATACTTATTATAAGTCTAACAATTACAAATACTTTAAATATCATCAAACTCTCTAACATGCTCTTCTTAATACACTTTCTCTTATTGGTTATAATTTATTTAAAATTACAAAATCAAGAGTCATTAAATAGGGGGTATGGGATGCACCAGCTTTTTGTGTTTTCCGATAAATTCCAACCATTAAAGAAAGCATGTTCAAAAGAGAGCGTCAGAGGATGTATTTCTAGCATTTCTCAATACTTTAAATATCATCAAACAAAAATGCAATTTCGCATGTATGTCAAAGTGGTAGGTGGGCCACACAATAATTGATGACCAGAACAATGTTAACCATAATTCAAAGCGCAATAAATAATACAAATAAATCTCAAACTGTTAACTCCATCAGTTTATAAAGAATCAACAAGAAAGGTAATATGTTAAATTAAAAATAGCAAGGGTGAGAATATTACTTATAGTTTACATCTCACCTGGCTCTCTAGTATGGGAAGTATGACTAAAAGAGGGACAACGGCTAAGTCCTGGAATAGCAAGCAGAAAAGGAACAAAGATAATAATGTCAAAGCTTTACTTCACTGACATCTTATTTATCAATCTACTATAGTATATCAGAAGATATAAACAGGTAAACTCATACAAAATGAGTTCTAAAATTCACATTTTTTTTTGTGATAAAAAATTACATGGAAATTTGACTGTAACCAAGCAAGAGTGTAAGACAAAAACCTGCAAAAGAAGTATTCCAAGAGTTGCTGAACCAAATCTTGTGGGAAGTTCACCTTTCTCTGCAAGAAGCTAAAAATATATATATATGGCTGATAAGTTGCATTATCCATATTTCGTGTCACATATCACAATGGATTCATGTATGGGAACACCTAAAACCATTAATATAAAACAAACAAACTTATTTTGACCATGATTTATTTTCAATGTAATAAACAAGATAAAGTAATAGCACATAGGGCTGGAGAAAGAAGTTTACAAACCAAGAGATTGCAAACTAGAAGCAAAAGGAGCAACATGATGTGCAGAGCAAGAGGAGAAAAATGATTTAGTCACTAACTAGTACTACTAAATCATATTATCTCATAAAAAAGTCAGTGGGATCCATAATAAAATCACAGGATTGTAGGAGGGAAGGAAGGGTGCAAAGAATTCCAGCTATCAAAATTAGCTATATTTTATCATATTAACTACAAAAAATAACAACCACTAGCATTTCCAATAAGACTTTTCTCCAAAACATACGTGCTATGTCAGAAAATAAATGCCTTCATAAATATTTTAAAAAAGCATGAAGGTGTTGGTCAGTATCAATCTAAACAAATTAAAACTCTTCAGCCTTTCCTCAGATCAGTCAATAGTCATGAAACTAAATTAGTAAATTTATTTTTGTTAGTCACATGCATTTTTTTTCTTTTGATATATTTCTAATGCATAAATATGTTTCCTATTTATTGGAAATATGAAAAATAAAAGTAATAGTGAAAAATACTAGTCGCATATGTTAAAACTAAAAGTTGAAATATAAGTATAATTAGTATAGATACAACTCAAGGTACTATTGATACATCAACATTGTCATCATTTTTTTTAGTGCAAACAAGGTGCAGAAATTATCCTTGTTTATCTTCAATTTAAATAGGCATTTTAAATAAACAAATACCTGTAGAACAAACGCAGAAGATGAAAGAGAGAGAGCAGCACCAATCACTACGGCTTCATCGATACTTCTGATGTTCACCTATGAATATGATCTCAAAATAAATTAGAGATTAAAGCAATGAAGCCTCATCAGTTTTACATTTTACCTTCTCATTTCTAACTATAATTAGTTAGTTATCTTTGTAAGTAAACAACCATCGTAAAATATTAAGCTGTTAGGTGTAGGTTTACAAATGGTTTTCATATGTAACATGCCCCAAAATGCAAAAGCATTTGAAGTGTGGACAAAACACATGGCTACTTGACTTTGAGCTGGAACTATAATTTAGTTAGAAGAATAAAGGCACTAAGGAATGAACTCCTTAGTCAGGTCCTACTAGGTGATATTGGCTACATGGATAAACCCATGGCATTGGGGTTCTATCAAGCACCACTTTGAATAGGGATAACTAATTTAGAGCAGAAAGATAGTCTAGCATCCGGTCAACTAGGATCTTGTAGAATGTCTAGGAAGTGGGAACCACTTCTTAAAGGCTCAAGTTTTTTCCTTTTTGGCAACTGTCTATAGCAATTTCTCTAAAAACAATTAAAAGCTTCACTATCAAATTTCTCATTTGAAAGTGTCACTCTTTATGCGTGCATTTGTCTTCTGTCTGCCTCTAACCAGAATGACTGTAATTTATAATCAAGAAAAAGTTCAAACATGAAACTAAGAAAAATTGTTAGATATAGAAACCTTACCAGATCAGGCCTAGAGTGGAAAAGAAATTCCAAAATTTTTGTTCCGACGGCTCCATTTGGAGGAAGTTCAAAAGCAGTAAATGCTAAAGTGGACAGTACAACCTTCAAAAGTATTTAAATCAAAATTAAAATAAGGACAATAAAGGCCAAACGTAATTTTATAAATATCAAAGAAGAAATTAGAACCTCAAATAGAACAATTATAAAGAATTGACAACTAAATATAATAAATTAATAGAAGCCATCATCGAAGCTAAATTTATAATCTCTTCAACATAGATGAAGCTAATGATAAATAACTATAATGAAATGGCTTAAGAAATTTTCTTTGCACGCCCATTATCACTCTCAAAGTGTCATACCTGAGCCAATCCCATCCCAAAAGCATATTTTGCAAGAGCTTTCAATCGTGCAAGTGAAAGCTCTAAACCCATCTCAAACAGCTGAAAAGAAACAAACATTACTTCTGAGTAATTATACAACATGTTTATCAGAAATTTTACTGCAGATTAGCACCAAGAAAATAATATAAGTTATTCATACTTATATTTGAGTCTTTTAAAATGTTATTCCATAACCTCCAATCCAATCATATTTTAATGTGCATGCTACCTTATCATACAACAAATATGAACGTAACAACAAAAGTGGTTAGGATCAAACAATGTTACTGTTGAAATTTCAATATATATATATATATATAAGTTAATACATATGAGTTTCAGAAGCTGTGTAGAAAATAAAAGCAATCAATACAGGCATTATGAAATGGAGTACTAAAAAAAAGGCTAATACCTAGGAGTTTTGGATTATTAGTTTTCATGAAATAGAGAAACAACATGCTAAAATATGTTTACATATCACAGTTCCAATGCTTAATTTGAGAGTGAGAAAAAAATGCAAAACAAAATAATAATAATAATAATAATAAATAAATAAATAACAAAAAAATGGCACCTTCACTGAGTAGTGAGATGTATCTTACCAAGAAAAGGATCCCCCATTCTGATAAAACTTTAACATCTGTAATGTTTCTAATTAAACCAAACTGATTGAGTACCACACCAGCACAGAAGAAACCAAGTATCTGAAAATAGCAACCATCAAATTTATTGCAATTATTGATATAAGAAAGTAAATTGACAACACAAAGTCTTATTCTACTATTATGAGTGCGTTTGGAAAACCATTCAACACCTGTTGAACAGATTTTTTCCACTTTCCAATGTAAAAAAGCAAAAGCAAGTGTGGTGTTGTTTTTTCAATTACGTTAAACGTAAGTAACTGCAATACAAACACACCCTATTTTTTTTATTTTCAACTTTCATGTTTATAAACATTGAGTATCTATAGATTTTTACTTTCATTTTTACAATTAAAAATAAATTCAAACTGATTTCTGCAGTAAAAAAGTTAATTTTCAAATTTCAATCAACTCCAAATCTAGACTTTTTCTGTGATAGAACTGTAATATTAAATTCACAGAATAGTAAAGATTACTCAAAAAAAAAAATTATTAAGTACAATTATTACAACAAATATAATATTTATAACTGATGTGAACCAAAAAGCGTCTGCTAATTAGCTATTTTGGTGTATAATAAGTACAACCGAATGACATTAGATATTGAGTTTGCTGTAAATCTTAGTATCCCCATTCTGTAGCCATTCAAAATTTCATCAAAACTTGAGTTGTGCATCCTTTTCATCTCTTGATGCTTGTGCTTGTCTCATTTATTTACTCAAAGAATGCATTAGTCCATTTTAACTAGTCAAACTAATGCAGGAATTTATCAAACCAAATACAGAGGATTACATGATAAATAATTAATGACGGTTATGATTATTGAGATGTGAGATTATAATAATTTCAAGAGCATAACTTGAAAAAATCCAAGAATTTCTTACAGGACTGGCTTTAAGTGACTTGAATGTAGGCACAATTATGACGGTCACAGCCAAGAAAGTAAGAGTATCCAATCCTAAATCATTGATGACGTCAACAGCACCAGCAACATCATATGCTACATTTGTTCGCAGCCGTTCCCAACGCGGCCTATACAATCCTTTCCATGATGGAACATTGAGAGGAGACCTTTTAAAGAAGTTTTCTGAAACAGAAGTCCTATAAATTATCCCATGACTTGCACCGCGTGGTAGTAGTGGCACTTGCTTGTTAACTGAATAAAGCATGAAAGCAGAACTTCTATAAACTCGTGAAATAGCATGAGTGTAACCCGGACTCTTTTGTTTGGTAAGGTCATATCCCTGCAAGAAAATAATATTGCATAGCAAATTTCAGAACAAGTAACAACTTTCTGAATACAGATTAGATTATGCAACAAGCTTAATTTACAGTTTAACTAAGTCAAAACTCAATTCTGAGTTTCTGGCTTTCAAGCAAAGTAGGAATTGACTCTATTATTTGAATATGCACTAAATTTAGCAAAAACTTAAAAGGTTAAACATATTCTTGAAGGGAAATGCAGGAAAGATGAAAAGGAAAATTTCTTGCATTACTCAAAAAACATAATCAACCAAACCCATGTCAGCATGACTCAAACTAGCCCAACAATGATAACCAACGAAATTGTGAAAAAACCAAAAGGAGAGATGTTACCTTAAAGCTTTGACACCAAGCTAAAGACTCCAACATAGTGGTAGAGGTCATGAAGCAATAAAACCCAACTTGGGGAAGCTCATTTGCGTTTGTTTGTTCCGGTAATAGACACCCAGATAGAATTTGAAAAATGCTGAAAGAAAACAAAAGAAAAAAAAATGATCTTTAGAGTATCCTGTTCCTCGCTGCCTCAGAAAATAGAGGTGGGTAATGACACACGTACACGTAGGAAGCTGTGAAAGATAGAAAACTCTGCAGAAAATGGAAGCGTCGTAGAAGGGATTTTGGATGAGGTTGGAATAATAATAATTAGATAACTATAAGTTTGTGCACCACAACAATTCTAGTTTCACTAATGTCTGATGTGGTTTTCGTGGATCACAATCGATGCTCAGATTTTTCAACTCAGAAAGATACGCAATCTCACGTGGCGATTGCTTTTATTCTCAATGTCATTTTCGGAAAGTAAAAATGTAAATAAAGGGTACTACCACCAAACATGAAATACATCAACCAAAACAAAAGTTGGTTTAACTGTTTCTGTCTCTCTAATATCATAAAATTTACCTTTTTGATCTTTGTAATTAAATTTTAATCCTTACTTATATATATAATACAATTTTTTATTCTTATAGTTTCATTATAAATAATAAAGATTAAGAAAAAATGATATATAAAAATTAAAATAAAACTTTTATAAATACATGAACTAAAAAGATAACAATATTTATATAAAGTTAAGCCTTGATTCAAGAAAATAAGAAACATTGATAAATAAAATCTATTTGATTCAAAATTTTAAAATTGTTTTAATAAATTCAATCGAAGTGAAGGTAGTTAAAATTAGGTTATTCTATTCAGGTTATTCGGTCAAATTAAAATTAAATTATTATGTTTTAAAATTTTATCAGTGGCGAATTATTTTTTTTCATATCAATTCCTAAATTTAATAATACAACAAACCAAAAGGTTTTTTTTATTATTATAAGTAATAATTATAGATGAACATTAGATCAATTATTTATTATTATTACATAACTCTTTTACGATTATAAATCTATAATTTTTAGACTAAGTTTTTAATTCAGAAAATGTTAAAAAAAAATAAAAAAAACTCATAAGGGACAACACGCGGGAAAGGGTGTGAAAGTGAAAAATTAAGGAAATTTATTTATACTTATATAAAGAAGATATATGGGATCATAACTGTTCATATTTTTAGATAATTTTATTTTAAATTTTTTAAATATTATAAAATAATATTAAAAATTAACTACTGATATAACCATTTAAATAAATTAATTATTTTAAATTATTCAATTTTTTAAACATTTTTATTATTTAACCTCAATTTTATTTTATTTTAAAAATTTTAAATAAAATATAAAAATATAAAGGATCTCACTTAGTTCAATAATGGAGTAATAATAATTATATCGGGATAGATTAGGGATGAAAATAGCATTAAAATAAAGAGCTACAGAGAAAGGTAGAGGGAACATAGTAAAAATAATATTTTTTATGATGAGAAAAAAATAAGAAAAAAATAAAGTGAAAATGAGATTAAAAAGAAAGAAATATATGATAATATTTTCCCTATAAATATTTAAAAAAAAATCAAGAAAAACAATGGTGTAATAAAGAGGGGAAAAAAAAGGAAATGTAGATAGTTTGCTCTTACCATTCTAAAATTTAAAGGGTTGGAATAGGCTTCTTACAAATATGTATAATTTAAACAAGTTCATTTTTTTTAATCAAAACAAACTTATTGGTTCAACGATAAGTGAGATTTAAAAGAATTTTTTTTCTTAAATGAAAATAAAATATGTTAAGTTTTTTTTTTTTTTGTCGTCAGATAAAACTTTTGTCAATATGTATAACTTTAATATTTTATAAAAATTAGTAACAAATCATTTGAAAAAAACTAGGTTATTGATGTAGACTCTTCCAAAGAACTTTTGTATGAAGAGTCGTAAGTGTTAAATGGAGGATTGCGCTCCAACTCTTGTTGCGAATATAAAAAGTCTTAATTGTAAGTATGACATTTTCACGGGTAGACTGGTTGACTTTATACCTCAATTTGGATTATGTTTCAATTCTCTTTTTTAATTTGTTTTGGACAAATTGTGAATACCTCACAACAATTTGTCCTTTGTTATGATTTGATCAATTTTGATGTTAGATGTGCTACGAGTGTTCTTGTATTTTTGAGAATTAAGAACTTTAGGGACCTTATGTGATTGAATGAATCGATGAATTTATTTAATTGTGTTATAAAAGGATTAAAAGCATGTTAAGACTTAATTTAAAATCTCAAATAAGTGTTAGATGTTTAGGGACAAATGGAGGATCCTAAAGGATAAAAAACTTAAAATTGTGAATTGTAAGAATGAAAATCCCAGATCACACTAAGTGCGGGATATGCAGAAAAAATGTGGTTCTCTTTATCATTTTGGCACTTGATGTTGTGGTACCAAAGAGTAGAGGGGAGCTCTTTGAGTTTGGTGCTTAATGTTAGAGTTATAGAGAATACCATATTCTTCTTCACCCAGTGGCTAAGCATAGGGTGTTTTTGCACTAAACATGGGACTCTCATACATGATTGGTGAATTTAAATATGTGAATCATGTGATTGTTTTGATGTTTTGATTCATGTTTGATTATAATTGATGTTTCTTGTGATATGTATGAGAATTGAAGTCCTAGTATACTTATAAAATATAATATTATATTTCGTGAACCTTACATGACTTTGTGTTGAGATAGAATGTCATCGAAACAAGTGATCTAGCCTATGAGATGGTGAAAATTCGCTTATGTGGTATTTTAGTGATAAGTGACCTAGCATGTGAGATAGAAAATGGGTTAATTTGTATGTGATGGTGATGACAAGTGTAGTGAAAGTGTAGTGAAACTTGTGTTTACATTGAAATGAGATAAACATTATTGCATCGAGTCTTTGAGTTGGAGGAAAATTGACACAAGCTAGGTGGTGGAGATCATAATAAGTTTAGCCAAAATTTTAAGGGTTTAAAAGACTGGTGTGGAAACCCCAATGACATATGTTGATCCCTTAGAAGAAGAAGAAATAAAAGAGAGAAAATGAAAGAAGAGGGTGAATGAAAAAGATATAAATAAATAAATTTCATTAAAAATTGGAAATTAATTAGAATGGTATTTTAAGATTTTTTTTATAAAAAAGGGGTATATTGATAAAATAAATTAAAAAGAGTTGTCTATAACATGAACCAATTATTTACTTGTAAAATCAATCTCTAAAATTTAATATTTGCAATCTTGAAAAAAAATGGAGGAAGTGGATGCATGTGAAAATAGTAAGTGCTTGGAAAAAAATTTGTTAGATCAAAAAATGATCTTAAATCCCTCAGAATATGAGTTTTGATGTTGGAAAACTTGAACGATTTTGATAAAGAAATGTTTTTCAGATCGCATAAGAAGACAAAATTAAATAGACGATTGGTTAAGATGATGTGTAGTCTACCAGACGAACCACTTCGTCTATCTAAGACGAATGCATTAAATATATATATTACTTATGATGTCTAGTAATCAAATAATCTTTATCTATTTTATTCCTTAATAAATTGAAAGAATAAAAGTTTTTTTTTATACTTGAACTTCAAAAAGAAACGAATATTTACTTTTCATCAAAAAAAGAATAAGTAGATATCTCAAAGTGTGCAAAGTTTCAAATAAGAAGTGACAATTTGGTTAAATGAATTTAATACACCAATGGACACTTCTCTCTACAAGGAAGGAAGTTGAAGAAAGACAAAGCAAGCATGTGAGAGAAACTCACGGATTTGCAATAGTCATCTTCATGAAACACCTATATAAAGAAGTTTGAAGGTTGAGAAAGAAAAGAAAGAACAACCATTGTAAAAATTCATTTCATTATTTCTGTAAATCTTTATACTTTAATTGGTTGTATCACGTTTTGTAAGTAAAATGAAACAATAAGTAATTTTCTAACCTTAATTGTGTTATAACTTAAAGCCTTAGAATATTTTTTTTGTAAAGAATACTTAGTTGTTGAAATCTGAAGAAACTTCATCGTTCAAAGAACACTTAGATAATTACTTGAAAATGCAAGTTAAAAAATATTTAGGTTAAGTCGGGAGTAACTCGTGAAAGAATACTTGTATCTCTACAAAGATAGTGAAATTTGATCAGGTTAATCAATAATTAGATGTAGTTTTGATAGTTGGGACAAATCAGTATAAAAATATCGTGTGTTCTTTGTTCATAACTCTTTGTCTACATTCTTAATGTCTTGATAAGACTTCATTTTTTAAAAAAAAAAGTGTTGAGCTTTCAATTGACTTTATTCAAACTCTATTCTAGTGTCTTTTTTTTTTCCCACAAAAATTGAATGTTGGAGACAATGAGTAGAAAAAGAGTGTGCGTAAAGGTAAAGGGTGAGTGCTTAGAAGAAAAAAAATTGAACATTAAAGACAAAGAGAAAAGGATTTGCAAAGTTGAAAAATTAAAAATTAAAAAATATATTAAAGGTATTTTAGGCAACTTTAAAAAGAAAAAGACCATTGGGCAAGCTTATAAATCTTAAGTCACACACACACCCTTGTAACACACACATCTTGAGGATGGGGAAAAACAAAATAGGAATAAAGAAGGAGAATAAGAGAAAAAATAATTAATGACCTCGACATCTCTTAAGGTTTTGGACAATCATCTTTAGGTGAGTGCAAACCTTTTCGCCTTCCTATATTTTTTGTGGTGATTGATTGTTTATCCTTACATAACCCATGTGCTCTAATTGTATAATTAAATGTTTAATATGTATCGGGGTGAATCCTCTTAATGTTTATCATAAAAATGTATATCTTATAAGTACTCCTAATAAATAAATAAGATACAATTATATTATTTCTTAATGTGATTTCATGAATCATCTAAAAATGGATCTTCTAGCTAAAGTATGGTTGATATTCTAGGAATGAATATATTATTTCTTAATGTGATGTCATGAATCACAAAAGATTACTTATTACTATTATTGATCTCACAAATGATATTATTGTGACTTTTATTTCACAAATAATGTCATTCTAATTATTGGGAAGTAGTCATCCATTGAGTAAGTCTTGTTCTATAAGTGATTTGATTGTCGAATCTTGATTGATTGAAGACTAGGCCAATAAACATGGTCAATTAAATGTCTAAATGATATACAACCCGCCAAGTTCAATTGTTAAAGGCATAAAGAATCTAAGTATTTGACCAACTAGATCAACCAAAGGTTTGAATGGTATAATCACAATTCTTAATCACTTATTTTTTAGCCAATAATTTTAAGTGCACTTTTTTTTCTTTAAAACACTTTTTTTTTTTTTTACTTTAGAAGAGTCAAGTACTAATATATAATATTGACACCATGTTAGTTTAAATTTTTATTAAAACTATTTTTAATAAAATACATAATTTTAATTTTTTAATTTGTTTGTCTAAATAGTTTTTTAATATTTTTTATTTTCTTAAGAAAAAGTCTACTTACTTCTTGAAAAATATTTTATAATTCCCACTCTTTTTAAAAAAATTAACTTTTAAGCAAATTGGCCTTTATTTAATTTAGAACACGTGGGAAAAAGGTAAGGAAGATATATTTTATTAAGTGTAAAATGAAATCCCGTGTTTTTGCCTTTTTGGTGATAGAATAGAAGATAAATTAATATCCAAAATTGGTTGAAGAAGAAAAATAGAAAAAGGTTGGTCGAATGGGTCGGCGAGGGCGTGTGGGCAACTAAACCAAACCAACGCTCACTTTTTCATCGGTCAAACAAAGCGCACCAATTCCCATTCAAACACATAACATCGTATTGCATTTGCACCCTCTCTCACACTCTTCTCTCCTTCCAATGGCGGCCCTGCCTCCATCCTCCTCCGCATTCACCTCCTCCGCCCGACTCCGCCCCTCCCTCCGCCCACCGCCTTCCCACCTCTCCTTCCCTCGCACACGCACACGCACACGCACACGCACACGCTTCTCCCTCAACGCCACCTGCCACTTCTCCGACAGCACCAATTCCCTTCGCCAAAACGCCGTCGCTTCCCCGCTCCAGCTGCTCAAGACTTCCGCCGCCGACAGTGAGTCCTCATTGACTCCCAATTTTCCCCCTTTCACGAATCACAGCAATCAATTTTAAAAACGCGTCATTTCAGATGTTGAGTTGAAGCTGTTTTTTGTTTTGTTCTGTTTGTGTTAGGATATACGAAGGAAAAGAGTAGCATTATTTGCATAGGGCTCAACATTCACACTGCTCCCGTTCAGATGCGTGAGAAGCTCGCAATCCCAGAGGCCCATTGGGCCAAGGTCATTCAGGACCTTTGTGCTTTGAATCACATAGAAGAAGCCGCAGTTCTCAGCACGTGTAACCGCATGGAGATCTATGTTGTCGCTCTCTCCCAACACCGTGGTGTTAAGGAAGTTACTGATTGGATGTCTAAGGTATGTATATATATATATATATACACACCTGCAAAACTTGTCAATTTTCTGTTCTTGTTTTTGTTTAGCTTTGATTACTTTACTCTCTATAGTTAAAACATTTTGTTTCAGTCTTTCGTTTCTTTTTAGTTCTTATAATTTTATAAGCTTTATTACTTAGTTCATATAGTAATATAAATCACACTAAAATGAAATGTTTTTAATTATAGGACTAAAATAAAATAAAATTTTTGAAGTTATAGGGAATAAACAGATAATTAAACCTTTTGTTTACAAAGGAAAATAAAAATTCATTCTTGTGTTTATTTCTGTTTAGATGAGTGGGATTCCGGTGCCTGAGCTTCGTGAGCACCAGATAATGCTGTATAATGCGGATGCCGTGCAGCATCTATTTGAAGTGGCGGCGGGGCTTGATTCGCTTGTTCTTGGGGAAGGTCAAATTCTTGCTCAGGTGAAGCAGGTTGTGAAAGCTGGGCAAGGAGTGCCTGGTTTTGATAAGAAAATCAGTAGTTTGTTCAAGCAGGCGATTTCAGTTGGGAAGCGGGTTAGGACCGAGACTAACATTGCGTCTGGATCGGTTTCTGTCAGCTCGGCTGCTGTGGAGCTCGCGCTGATGAAGCTTCAGGAGTCTTCCTTTCGTGATAGTGCTCAAGTGTTGGTGGTTGGTGCAGGGAAGATGGGGAAGCTTGTGATCAAGCATTTGGCTGCAAAAGGGTGCAGAAGGATGGTGGTTGTTAACAGGACTGAAGAGAAAGTTAATGCCATTAGGAGAGAGTTGGAGGATGATGTTGAGATTGTGTTTAGACCGATTTCAGACATGCTGGCATGTGCTGCTGATGCTGATGTGATCTTCACCAGCACAGCATCTGAATCCCCGCTGTTTACCAAGGAGAATGTGCAGATGCTTCCTGTGGTTAGTCATGGGAGAAGGCGGATTTTTGTGGATATATCTATTCCTAGGAATGTGGAACACTGTGTGTCGGAGCTGGAGACTGCACTTGTGTACAATGTGGATGATCTGAAGGAAGTTGTTGCAGCTAACAAGGAGGACAGGCTTAAGAAAGCTGAGGGGGCTCGGGGAATCATCCATGAGGAGTTGAATAAATTTGAAGCGTGGAAAGACTCTCTGGAATCTGTTCCCACTATTAAGAAGTTTAGAGCTTATGTTGAGAGGGTAAGAGCCTCTGAGATGGAGAAGTGTTTGTCAAAGATGGGTCCTGATGTCTCAAAGGAACACAAGGAAGCAATTTATGCACTCAGTATGGGTATTGTGAATAAGCTACTTCATGGTCCCATGCAGCACCTGAGGTGTGATAAGAATAATGATGATAGTTTGAGTGAAGTACTTGAGAATATGCGTGCCCTTAACAGAATGTATGATCTTGAGACAGAAATTTCCTTGATTGAAGAAAAGATCAGAGTCAAGATGCAACGGGCTCAGAAGTAGACTCTTCTTCAATTGGTTTAGTTTTATTTGATTCCTGAGGGGGCTGCAAGCCTCCTTCCCATTTTTTACACTACTATAGCAGATTGAGGGCCTTTGGAGGCTAATTCTTTCAATTATTTTTTAACATTATACGGAAGTGATTAGAACATTGATGCCCGAAAGAAGTCAATGTGTCATAATTTTTGAAAGAGCAGTTGAAAATTCATGATCCTCATGACAGATGAATATTGATTTCTTGTATTTTTTTTATAACATCAACTTTAGGGCGAAAGTATATATACGAGTCTAAGATGTATTCAAATGTGTATATATGATTCTTGGTTTTGATCTCTTACTCTGTTCATATTTTAGTCGCGATTTGCCTTACAGATTTGGATGGTAAAATATCACAACTTCGCTGATTGTTCAAGGAGACTTTCATAATAATTGCATGAGTGCCGGGTATTATTATTATTTAATAATGAATAATCTTGAGTACACTATTTTACTTCATTCTCTTCGTCCACAATCTGTTCCTTTTTACTTTTTAGTACTACCAGTTTCAATATGCAAATCTTCATTCTCAATACACTCCCAATGGCTCTCTGCAGCTGATACTGTTGTATTCTTATGAGCTCCTCTTCAAAATTGTTTCATTTTTTTTTTTTCATCGTGTGCTCATCATTTTTTAACTGTATAACCATTCTCTACTTAAATACTAAAGATGCGATATAAGTGCCACAGTGAATCACAAGACTCCATTATATATCAAACCAATGATGGATTGTTGGTGCACCTAAGAGAAGATAATAAAGTGATTTTGTCCATACATGACTCTCATTTTCCGTCCATTATGAAGACTAATTGTGTACGTGGATTTCACTGAAAACTTCCAAATTATGATTTAGGCACGTTTTTGCCAGGGTAAGAACTTTTCCTATAAAGTCCAAACACGCACCTACTGATTCAATGTCAATTTATTTCCTTTTCAATCTTGTGAATGTCGTGATTCGAAACTTCTGGAGACTAGAGTTACCAAATGAAATACGTGGTGTTTATTTTAGTTAGAGTCAAACCAATAGACACAAAATATAACTTGTACATTCTGTACCAATGAATATTGGTCGGCAAGGATCATAAATTCCTACAAGAAATTTTATTTTTATTTTTTATACGTAGAAAAGAGGTAATTTATGCCTCATAATTATTTTTTTGAAAATAAAATATATAAATATATATATATATATATATATCAATTAACGTGTATGTTTTATATTACTTATTTCTCATAATTAATATTGTTTATTTTTCTAATCAATTAAAATACATATCTTTTAAAGAATTTATAATTAATATATTTTATCAGAAAATATATTTTAATTTAAAAATAATTAATATATTAAATATTATATAAAGAAACAAATAATTATTATCTTATTAAAAATGAACAGAAATAGTATAAATTATTGTACCGATTGTCACGTCTGTTAAAAAACACTCCAGTTGACCTTAGCGTCTGACGAATGATGATTCTGTTCTCATGTATGATGTTTGACACATTCGATGCATAAAAGGGTAGAACGGTAAAATCACAGAGGTGCGTGTTGACGCCGCAAAGTTGGACTTCTTTCTGGACGAATGATGACCCAGTTTTCCTTCTCTGTGTCTCAGGTAACACTGTAACACAAAAAATCAAACCTTCTCCCATTTGTTTTCTTTTCTTGCTCATTCTCGCTGTTGATTTAGGAGTTTATAATGCAAAACTTTTATTGAACATTATGTTAACAATATATAATAATAATTTTAATAAAATGCTTTTATTTATTAAAAAGAAATATTATTTCAGGGATTAAAGTTATAATTAAAAATTAAAAATCATTAAAATTAACTTAGTGATTGAAAAAAAAGTTGTAATAAAAGTATAAGAATTTAGATTTGATCATCTTTGTAATATTTTTTATGAATAAAAAAGTTATAATTAAATATAAATATATTAACAATGTAAAAACAATCATATTATCATTCTATTATAAATTGTTATCTATCTTATTAATAAAACAAATACTCCTTTTTAGTTTATACAAATTTTAAACTAATTTACTCTTATAATTATCCCTAATTTCTCTTTCATTTTTAGTAACCTTTATCATTTTCTTATCTTTATTTATTTATTTTCACTTGAATATGATATTTAGTTTTCAAACCTCTCACTCTTTAAATAATCACTCATTATTCTTTTTTTTTTTTTAAAAATAGATAGGCATGCCTAGTATATGATAAGATAGTTAAACTTTGTAATAATTAATATCAAACTGTTGTATTTAATTGATTAGCAGCATAGTTTTCTTTTAAAAAAGCACACAATGAAAATTGAAGTTTATGAAGTAATTGAACCATCTTTTTAAGGTCTTCGTAAGAATTCATCCTCATCCCTTCATAATCATTTTTTAGCACACGGTCAAGAGAAGTTGAAGACTTCTGAATCATTCATTAAAATTCTGGATCTATATGATTGCTATAAAATTTCCGTTATAGTACTTACAATTTGAAAAGGAAGTGAACTTTGTACATTTTAGCTCTTAGTATTTACCCCTTCGTCAATTCCATTTTGTTGGAATTTGATGAATAAACCCTTGTGTTTGATTTTCGAGAACCGTATGGTTTAGTACTTATTTAGTTGAATGTGCGAATTTCGTGTTGTCTCCTTGAACGAAAAGTCATTGAACCCAAGTGCATACCGAAAAGCTGGCTATGATGCTAACATTGTAAACCAGGTCAATGCAAACCGTTTTTACCAACAATGTTGATCTTATAGATAGCATCATAATTGAATATGGATAAAGATCTCACTTAATTCTTGGAAATGCATCGGATTCTTGAAGCTATGGGGGTTAAGACTAAAGAAACCATAAGCATGGCCTCACATGGATCTCTGCCAACCGAGAGAAACTTGTCCAGAATGTTTCTGCCACGTTCACATGTTATTTGCCAGCAGCTATCAATTATGAAGCTATCAAAAAGCCGTGTGCAATCAATTATTAATCAATTATTCAAGTGTTAATACTCCATACTGTCCAGCACAAGCCACTGTAAGGGGAATATCCGTTGCAGGACCAAAAAAATAAAAAGGATAATGCACTCATTGCGTATTAAAATTTCCCTCACAAACTAGTTAGTCTGGTGTAAATATATAATGCACTTGCTAGATACTAAAATTTTGAATAGAAGATTCTGTACCAACAACAACAATAACAATATGAATGTAAGGATTAAATGCTAGTATTTGACAAGTTGAGGCCCTACGATGAATAGTATTTAGAATGGAGCCGCTTCCAGTATAGCTTATGCTCCACCAATCAGTCCCTTCCTCCAGACCACCACCAAAGCTTTTCTTCCAACCACGATCAGCCTCGAACTTTTCAAGCACAACTCAAGATTTTCATATCTTGGTTCAGAACTTGGCAGCATGCCCCCCAACATCTTGGTGGAAGTTTTCAGTTCATGGTATGCAAGATTGAATATGATAGCTTCTTCAGTTTCTATAGCTTACCAGTTCCTCCAAATCCATCATGGATCAGTTGTGACAATATATCAACCCATGTGTCAGGAACACCAGGCAAACACCAATGCATGCAGTCCTGACCCCAAATTGCAACTGCATCCTTCCTTCCTAACCAAATGGCCGGATGAGCGTCGGCCCTAAACTCACTTAAATGAGATAAGTCAAGAACTTGAATGTCTGTTCTTTGTAATGCCTCTTCGATCACAAAGTTCAACCGCCTTGCTTCCTTGTTGACTCCGTTGTTCCTGGGTTCAAACCATAAGTCAAGCTGCCAAGGTATTAGTGTTTCATTCCTAAGAACAATGCTTAAAAATACATGAGGCATGGAACACAATTCAACAGATCCTTCTGAAAGCGTGAAGCATTCAAGTCATTTACAATTAAAAAGTTTTACCAAATGCAAGCAAGAGTTGGATGTTTATGTGAGATGTACACAGGTACATCATGACTATGAAATTTGGGAAAAAATGTGGCAATTTCATAGCATAAGGAGCTGGGAAGTCAAGGAAAGTGATTAGCATTGTGAGGTTAAAAAAAAGAATATCTTCACCAAGGAGACATCAAAACCAACACAAGTTTCAGAAATACACACCTCATTCTCCTCAAGGGGCGTGTTGAACAAGCAGCTACCATTCTGATTCCAGTCACCACCATAAAAGTGCCTTGGGGATTGTAATCGCCAGAATTTAAGTGTTTTTCCAGGAAATTCTTTTTGAATGTATGTGATCATGTGAGTAAGAACAACTTTAAGTCCATCCAACACCCCAAGAGGAGGAATTATTGGCTGTCCTGCTTTATAAAAGACAAGAGGTTTCTCTTTTGGAAATTTGTCATTATTCCACCTATTAAAGACAAAATCATGTAACAATATATATTCAATCATGGGAACAGTTCATAAAATACCAAGGCAACCAAAAATTAACCGCAGACCAGTTTCATAAAAAACATGGGGCAGCAAAAGTAATCGCCTTAGTCTTAAGAGTTATTTTCAATATTTTCACTATTAATATTATTACTTATTTAATTCACTCAAGTTGACTACCTATGCTTTGTTAAAGGGTTGTAGCATGATTCAACAACTCATTCCCAATGCATATATAAGGCTGGCAGTCAAACTCATAATATTGTTTGAGTTGTATTGCATCATCCAGAAGTTACAAAATTCAAGAAAACATAGAAAGAATTACCACTTACCAGTGACCAGTATTAAACACCAGAACATCATAGAATCCAGCAATTTTAGCCCACTCATCTGCAGGAACATCAACATCAACTCGATAAAAGCCTTCTGATCCATCTTGTATTCCAGCTTCAGATTGTTTTGGCTGCCACCTTTGTTTAATAAGTAATGAGCACATAAGATTTCCATTTCAAGATTCACATCAAAGAAACAAAGTAAAATAAGACAATTAACCAGCACTCATAAAAAAGGAAACACTTAACAAGAATTAAAATAGAGTCAGCAGATGAAAATTGTTAAAAATGAAAACATTCAGAGAAATAAGCTGAAAGTTGAAACTGACAACATACTCAAACAAGCTAGAAGAAGGAAACACAGATGGATGACTTCATGGATTGATGTCTTTAATCCCAAATTTTATCAAGCTCTGTTATAACAAATGTTTACTCGATGATTCCAATATAATCATCATTACCTAAAATAAAAGCTCCCCACGCCCTGTTAAAATTACAATTAAACACACTAGTGGTATTAAAACCAAAGCAAAAAGAAGCCATGTAATATCCATATACACATTTTAATAGCCAAAATGTAGTATATCTATTCTTAAAATAGGAAATACAGAGTAGAATCCCTGTGTATCTTCGATCAGATACATGTATATACTATAGTACTATAATGAATTTTTTTGGTAGAGATGCCTGAAGTAATTAGTATGATGCACAGAAAAGTGAATTTGCTAATACCTTTACGGCTATCTATACCTAATACAAATACAATGCAGAAGCTGTAAAGGGAATGTTATGTGTCTTCACATAAAAGGGTGGATAAAATGTATTGTTTAAATTTCTGAGATTTATTGCTCAGTTGTAGCGTTTATATTTGGGTGTTCCTAATGAATTGATGCATCATCGTAAACAATTCCAAAAGACGGGCTTCAATTCCATGTCTGTGTTTCTGATCCATAAAATGAGCTGCAGGCTGCAATCAGTATAGGAAATATCCCATTCACAAATATAGCTACAACTATGAACCAACAGCATGATAGTGTATATAGACAAGTAGAATAGGTCAGTGTTGCAATCTAACAAGAATTTCCAGTCATTAACTACACCCACTAGCTAGGGCATCACTTGCCTGGTGGTTTAAAGTTCAAAGAGTACTCTTTCAAACATGATTCCACTCGCACACGCCCTCAACAATGAGTGCTAACTATCAACAACGCATCACACCTTAAATAAATCTCATACCTTCTGTTTAAATTCAGGTACTCGATACAACCTACCATCGGCTGGTCAATATCAAATATCAAATTTCCGCCAAATTTCAGAGCCTCAACAAGTCTCTAAGAATCTAAGCTAATTCTCTATAGGATCTATCCCAAAATTACATAAAGTTGCATATTTACAGCCACCCCATCATGTGAAATGCACAGTCAAACTACTTGGCAAGGAGTTAGATAACTATGAATAAACACTGAATTCTACTATGGCCTGTTGGGGTAAACTTCTCCAAGAAGGAATTTTAGGAGGCAAAAATAGAAAGAAAAAATGAAACAAGTTTCTACTTAAGCTAATTTGGGGATTAGCTTCTTCAAATCTTAATTTTAAGTTATGGAGAAGCATAATTCAATTTTTCCTCGTATTTATTTTTCTTTTAGAAGTACTTATGAAAAAACTTATCCATACAACCAGTAACACATAATATAATACATGGCCATTTGCAAACTTGTGAGAAGCAGAATAGCGCAATGAGAAGATTACTGGTATTTAGAGAGCAAAACGGCACGGTGATAAGCGACGGTGACATTGAAGTTGGGAAAATAGGCACCTCTCCAAGCACCCTTCTTTTTCCACCTTTTGGCGCCGTGATCAGCGACCCTGAGAATGCAGAGAAAAGAAACCAAGAAATTCTCGTTGAGGGAGTCCCCAACAAAGGCAATGTTCCTGTTCCTCACGAGAGGCAGAAAGCGAAAAGGGTCGATCCGAGGCAAGTGGCAGTTGTGGGGGACCCACTTCCAGGAGTTGATGAAGCTCATGTTTTGCCTGTCGTTTCGGAGGCAGTTCCATGCGTTTCGGTGGAAGGGGCATGTCTGGTCGTAGAGAGGGGTGCGGTCGGGATCCAACACCCACTGGCCTCGGAAGAGATTGCAGTTGTAATAAGAGGTTGGGGAAGAAGAAGAAGAAGAAGAAGAAGAGAATGTGTTGAGAGAGAGGAATGAATAGAAGAAACAGAGGGATGCGAATGTTAGTAAGATGAGCCATGGGAACAGATGCGAAGGTAGCTTCGGAGACATTCTCGTCTTCCGCCGTCTGATGTTGCTTCCCAATTCATCATCCAACTCACAAATAATTATAATTGTATAATTAAATATAATGAAATATTTTAATAAAATATTTATTTTAATTTTAAAATATGAATATATATTTCAAATGATTGAAACTCACAAATAGTAGTAGGCTGCATGTCCCCTCTTAGGATGAATGGTGTATTTGGTAAACTAGAAGTAGAAGTAGAAGATAAGGAAAAAAGAAGTGTAGCCAAGTTGAAAATTTTGTAAAAGAGAAATGAAGAAAAAGTGTACATATTTTTGTGTGGCATCCAAAGTGAAAAAACTTCTAAAAACTTAGGGAAGTCGTGAAAAAATTGTTGGCATCTTAGATTCATGGTTGTGTTATGATGAAGGCTTAGGTGTGTCTATCCCATTGTGAAAAACATCTTCTTCCAAACCTCAATACTTCGAGCCATTCGAGCACGACTTCCAACACTTCCTTCTTAATCTAGATTTAGATTTTCTATCATTGCCATTGAATCACTACACCGCTCCTTTCCCCCCACAACCAAATATCATATACACACATGGAGAAAGACAAGAGAAAAGAAAACAAAAATCAAGCCTTCGTGAGCCATCACATTCTTTCCCTTTTCTCTCCACTACCAATTGTTGCACATATATATATATATATATATGCATAATATTTCAAAAGAACAAGTCAAATATTGCTTGAACAATTTAAGTATTGAGCCTTTATATATCAAAATGCTCCTAACATTTCTAAAAGAACAAATAATGGGTAGTGGGCTCGCTCATGAGAATGAGCCTTATGAACTCTTGAAACAATCCTCTGCTCAGGAAGAATATCTGTCACTGAAAAAAATACTTGAGTTTCACCTTAACTTTTATTTCTATTTGGAGATTAGAGTTTAAGGAAGGGATCAAATTACCTACAATAATTTTTTTTATAATTATTACATCTTTAATGAATTTTATTGATTTAATCATTATATTTATATTATATTAAATATATATGTCAACTTTTGTTAAAATTAAATAATAATAAATAAATTAAATTAATTATATTTTAAAAATTATATATATATATATTACATTAATTTTGATCTATATAAATACTATATCAAATAATTCAATCTAATAATAAATTTTAAAAAATAATTATTTAATTAAAAAAATATTGAATGATGATCGATATAATAATTAATAAAAAAATTATATTAATATAATTTAAGCACTCTCCATATATATAATTGGTATTTATAAATATATAGCTTGTTTTTAGATAATAAATAACATGTTGCTAATATAAATAGTAATTATTATTTTTATTTGTATATATATTTTATTATAAAATTTAATTATATATAATAAACATTTTATCAATAAAATGTATAAATTAAAGAATTAGATAAATTATTTCTAAATAAATTAACTTTATAATAACAATAAATAAAATAAATAATATATTTATTTATTATTTTAGTTAAAATATTTTTAAAAAGGTTAATTTCCACCCACGTATTTTTTTTTGAACAACCTTTATTTTCTCTCTCATTTATTTCTTTACATTTCTCTACACCTTTCTTTTTTCTCTTTCATTTTTTTTCTTCCACTTTAACAAACACAGCCTAAAAGGGCTCATAAAACTAGAAATTTGAAAACAGTATAAATAAATGAACGCAAGGACACTAGTAAAAAGTATGAATAAAAAAAAGAACAATCTTCCGAAAAATGGAGTAGCAATTACAGCTCTCAAAGTGAGTTGGTTAATCCAGCTCATCTTAAAAATAGGTCGGGTCTGACCAAAAAATGAAAAAAATTATGATAAGTTAAAAAATATAACTCAGCCTATTTTCGACTCGACCCACCCGAATTGAACTTTAAACTATTTATTATTATATATGTATTATTTTAATAAGATATCATTTTTTTATAGATAAAGATAAATCAATGTTAAACAATATGAAATTGTTATAAATTTATCTACTCAAATCTCCAATAAAATTTAATATTGATGAATAATCACTTTCATGAAATATATTTTTTTATTTTAATTTTTTAAAGTTGTACACTTTTTAATTTAAGTTTAATATTGTATCTATGATACTTGTTTGATAATTTTTTTTTTAAATTAGAGATTATTTTATATTGAAATTTATTTTAAATTATAATTTTTTGTAAATCAGGTGGGTTGGTGGACTGTTCGTTTAGCTCACCAACCTGTGGTGGGCCAGGCCGGCTAGAAAAATTTGCATAATAAATTTGGTGGCCAAACTGACCTATTTTTTTTTTAGGTTCGTTCCTGGAGTATCCACCGCCTCCACCGTCGGCAGCAGTGACTAATCTCCTCGCTATGTTGGAGACATTTCAAAGGGTGAGATAGTTGGCCCCAAGATTTAACGTGGCTGCATACACAAGGTAGAATTCGAATCCCTGTTTAAGCGTGGATCAACCCCTACCGCTAAACCACACGCTTGAGGTTAAACTGACCTATTTTGAGAGCTCTAATAACAATCATCCTCTAAACATTAAATTATTAATATTTTTTAAGAAATTTATTATAAAATAATTATTTAATTTAATATTTTATAATTTAAATTAATATTTTAATGTTCGAAATGATTTTGGGAGCAAGCTTGTATCATTTATGATGAAAAAATATCTGGAATAAGATTTGGGTGGCATAATTTAATTGGCTAAGAATGCCATTTTATTTTACGGAAATGAGTCCCCCTAAGTAAGTATGAATTTGGCAGCAGAAGACGGCACTGCAGTCTGCAGTAGCAGCGAAGCAAAGAAATAGAGGAGAATAAAAATAAAATACATCAGCGTTCAGCACTGCCACTCACTCACTCACTCTGGATCTACGAAGAAGAAGATGGATTCCGGTGGTGGTTCAGGTCCGAGTCTGTTTCCGTTGCATCGTTGCAAAACCATTCACCTGGTTCGTATTAGTATCCACTCACTCTTCATCTCAACACGCGCATCAATCAATCATTGCTTCCTTGCTTCCTCCTCCAGGTGAGGCACGCGCAGGGGATCCACAACGTCGACGGTGACAAGAACTACAAAGCCTACATGAATCCCGATTACTTCGATGCTCATCTCACTCCCTTGGGGTGGAACCAGGTAATGCTATACTATAACCTCCACTCCTCACTCTTTTTCTTTCCTAATTCATCACCATCACTGCCAGGTTCATTATTTGCGAAACCATGTTCGTCACTCCGGCCTTTTAAACAGGATCGATCTCGTCATTGCATCTCCCTTGTTGAGGTTTCATTCATTCAAACTACCTTTACCTTTACAATATACTAATATACCTTGTGTTTCTACGGCTTTGGCTCGTTGGAACGTTATGATTTTGTCGTTTAAAAGGTGTCTTGGTGGGTTAACGAAGGAGAGTGTTTATAAAATAAAACTTAGCCTCGATTCTTAAGCGATGTGTGACTTTTAGGCATACCAGAACAAACTCCCTAGTCGATGCTAAGGGGCAAGAGTGGCCTAGGCCCTCCTTCTAGCGTCAAATGTTCCTACGTAAGTCTGTTACCGCATCTGAGGTATTGTCTGTTTTGACACTTGTTAGGCCGGTTTTGTCCTTTAAAAGGCGTCTCAGTGGGTTAAGGAGGGATGATGTTTATAAACTACCCTTAGCCTCGACTCCTAAGCCAGAACACCTTGTTATGAATGTTACGTGTTTCAGTTAATTTACTGTTCCATCCCTACATCTAGCAAGAGTGGCCTAGGCTCTCTTTCTAGCGCCAAATGTTCCTACCATAAGTCTTTTACCGCATTCGAGGTATTCTCCGCTTTGATACTTGTTGGGCCAGTTTTGTCCTTTAAAAGGCGTCTCAGTAGGTTAAGGAGAGATGATGTTTATAAACTACCCTTAACCTCGACTCCTAAGCGATATGAGACTTTTAGGCATACCAGAACACCGTGTTATGAATTTTACGTGTTTCAGTTAATTTACTGTTCCATCCCTACATCTAGCAACTATGCACTAACTGCGTCTTTATACAATTTGGTTGCCAAATGAGAGATTACTAAAGTTTATATTTTAGTCAGTCAGTGTTAGTGAGATATGAAAATATCAATGTGGAATGTTAAGTATGCACTAAGCTCCTCTCATGTTTTTGATAACTAGGTTGCTTACTTGGAATCATTAAACACTGTCATTACTTTGTGTGCTTGGAGAAGACTGAAATTTCCCACCCATTCTGTTAAAAACAAACATTTTTTTAATTCTGTAAATTCCTAAATCTCTCTGACCATAGGGTTTCCATGTAGGAAAATCTTGTTGGCAAATAATGTTGCGTGTGTTTAACGCTTTACTTGATGGGGGGATTCTCACTTGATATGGAGTTGAAACATTTGAGGACTAATTTGTATAGATGTGAACTATAAGGAACCAAAGCAACACAAGCTGTTGCTTTTATGGATCAAATTTTATTTAACTCCAATGTGTTTTTTCTCTCGTGAATCCTTAAAAGATATTTAGGTTATATTATGCTTGTGAAAATTTTCTTATAACTGCATTGAGGCTAAAGACAGCTGTTTTGACTTGCATGTTACAATTTATGGCTTTAGGACTCTACAAACAGCTGTTGGGGTATTTGGCGGTGATGGTTACACTGATAAAACGGATGTGCTTCCCCTGATGGTGGCAAATGCAGGAAATAGCAGCCATGCTGCAATTTCAAGTCTAAATTCCCCACCAATTGTTGCTGTTGAACTTTGTCGTGAACATTTGGTATGTGATTCTACACTGAACATCTTTTTACCTGTTCAGGAGAGAGTACATCATGTTGCTACGTCTACTCTTGTTAACAAGTTCAATCTCCATTTCAGCATAGGCAATTTTTGTGTCTTGGTCATAAAATTCATTTAGTCATCAAGATAATTCCTGCAAACCCATCATAAATTTGGAATCTTATTTCTAAAGGGGAAGGGGCATTCAAAATGTTTTTGCTTCATGATTAACAGACTTTATCCTGCAATTTATTTTATGGGCTGAGAATGGAGGATGGAACGAGAGTATTTATAATTCAGACCTACTTAGCCATAAGTAATGACTAGTGAGATCGATTCCCAATTCATTTTTTGTAGTCTTGCCTTAAATTTTGGCTTATAAGTTGAAGTCGTGTCTTAAATTTTGGCTTATAAGGTGTCTTTTGAAAGTCATTGGGTTATGATATTGTTTTTTAAAATTTCTAGATGTCGCCATAGGAGGTTGAACTTTAGGCATGATGAACTCATACAAACAACCTCCAAATACTTTGTATGTGTGCTGGCCAGAATGAAACTCCTAGAATTTGAGCTTAGGACTTAACATCACAAAACTAGCCCGTAAAGTGAGGACTGTCCATGCCTTATAAGCACTACTTAGGCAATACTTCTAGGCAGTGTAGGACTAAGCACACCTTCAAAGCTGCAATTAAGGCAGTCCTAAGAGGCTGCAATTAAGGTGGGTTAGAAGTGACCGCAATTAACTGCTTTACAACAGAATTCAAAAGAATTTGATAGCAATTCAGAAAGAAAAAAAGCATTGGGTGCATATGCTGTACGCACATGTATTCAACCAGTACCTGTACCTAATACATACCTAGTACAGGTCTAACAACCATTTAATGCATCATAGTCGATCAACTATAATGATCAGTTTGATGGTGTGAAGTCAACAGTAATTATTGAGCAGTGATCTTACTACTGGTCACTGAATGCTTGAGGCATCTATTCAAGTAAATTACTGATACAATAGAAAGTATGCAATCAATTCATTTTCTTTTTTCCAACTACAAATCATCAAAAGCCTACCTTTAATGAGCAAAGACAGTTTTAGTACATTTTTAACATAAGGTTCCTAAAACTTGATATTATCATTCACATGTGGGGTATGGACCTTACAAATTTCTCCATGGTTTTCCTCATGCAGGGAGTTCATCCCTGTGACAGAAGAAGAAGCGTTAGCGAGTATCAATTTCTTTTTCCTGCTGTTGATTTTTCACTGGCAAGTGCTTAGGTTTCAAGTGCCTGAATGCTTGTTGTTTGATTTAATTGAAGACAGATAATTCCTTTTTTTAGCAGTAAAAAGTTGGCCAAATTTTATTTTGTTCTCTTTGGGTTTATGTTAGTCTCTTCAAGTTTTTGTTTCAGATAGATAGTGATGAGGATACCTGGTGGAAGGCCAATGTTAGAGAGACAAAGGAAGAACTTGCAGACAGGGGGCTGAAGTTTCTGAACTGGTATGAGTTTGTTAGCATCAGAAACTTCTGAGGTTTCTATTATGAGTTTTTCTTTGGTCAGCAATACTACATATTGGAAACACACCAAAATTGGACTTTGATGTTTACGGTATACCAAGTTAATATAGTTCTACTATGTTAGGCTTTTTGCAATAGGAAGATAAAATGTATATATACATGTATGTCAATATTTTACTAGTTCAGGCTCTTTACTAAAATGTATATTGGCTCTTTACTAAAATGTATACATATGTATGACAATATTTTAGGAAATTTACTAGATATAGCAGAGTATGTGTTTAATGTAATTGAAGCTGCTCAAAAGACTGTCACTGAACTCACCTGTGACCCTGGAAATTTGTGAGACTGAGTTTTTACTTTTCACTTCATCAGGCTGTGGACACGAAAAGAGAAGGAAATAGCAATTGTTACTCATAGTGGATTCTTGTTTCATACTCTTAAGGCCTTTGGAAGTGATTGCCACCCCTTGGTAAAGAAAGAAATATCCAAGCAGTAAGCCCTCATCACCTCATGCCTCTGACCTAGTTGTTTGCGATTCACTTCCCTCTAAGCTAACTGAGTTGAATATGCATGATTTTTGAGAAAATATCCATTTGTTTCTTTCTTGATGTCTGCATTTATTAAAAGAAATCATTACTGGCTTTGTTATCACTTATCAGTCTTAGATATATAGAAGGTGAGTGCCAGCCATATTTTGCGCTTGTTATGTGAGGCATATATTGTTCTTATGTGGTAAGAGATCATTTTCCTTCAACTGAAACATGATGACAAATCTAGGCGATCCCGGGAGATGTTCATCAGTTTTTATATTGAAGTAAATGATTGACTCTTTTTGCATATCCTTGCAGCTTTGCCAATTGTGAGCTTCGCTCTATGGTCATTGTGGATAGAAGGTGAGTTTGCAAATATAAAATAAACAAACAAAAAGCAGGCTTCTTTCATCTTATTCAAGATTTGTCTGTTTTTTCTCCAGTATGATAGGATTGGAAGCATCAACGTTAACAACTAACTATCCAGGCAAGATACCTTCAGGACCGGACCTCCCTAGTGATGTTGCGGATGGGAACTCAAATAAATAAAGGGTTTGTTCTACTTGTTTGTATGTGTTCGGTATCATTTAAATATTGATCTGCAGAACATAATCATTCCTATTTGAAGATCATGACTCTTACCAAATCTAACGTGATTATTCCAGATTATACAAACTATCCTGATTCTGTCTTGAAACCTAACAATTATTGTCTGCAGAAGATATTTGTTAATCCAAGGATAACCTTGTAGGAAATCAGATGACCCGATAGTGGTAACAACACAGTCACAAACACATATGTGTCCTCTGTGTTGATGGAACAGTTTCGGTATTAAATTAATAAATCAATATTAAAATTAACCACATAACATTTGGCGTATCAAATCAATTTTGTATTCATACATTTTATTTTACTCTGGACAAGTCAACATCTTTTACTGGTGCCAATTGTCGCCATTTCCCCTTTTTAAAAAGCAGAATTGTTGCACACGAGCCTTTACTTTTTACGTTGTCAACTAAACGGGGAAGCAAACAAACAAATAGAGACAGATGATTGAGAGTGAGGCTGCCCATTTCAAGTTTATGAGCTCATTTGACGCTGTGTAATTTTCTTTTTTAAAAAATAAAATGCTATGTTTGTGTTGGAAAACGAAGTGGAGTTGAATTTACGAGACTTTTCATATAATTACTTGATTTTGATTTGTTTAGTTATTAAATTTTCTTATTGGATTATAATTAAAGTCAACAATATTCAAACATAAAAAACACGAAATTGGAAAGTGTGTTAGATTGTGCGTAGAATAGAACACCTCGAATCAAGTACTGTCCTCAAGTATTTGTATTGTGTCAATGTATCTCTTCGTTTATAAATTTGGATACCTACAACAGACACACTTTGAGCTATTTTTGACTTTGTAATCCTAATCTGGACGCCTATATATAGACAACACTTTCCCTAAATTGGTTATATCTCAAATTCTTTTGGTAAAACTTTGTCTATATCTTTTTAAATATTAGTAAGCTCAGGTCAAGTCAAACTACATGGAATTTAAGTAAAGACCACACAATAAGCTATTTATTTTTTTAGTTAATTTCATTTATGGTAACAACTGTCAGTAACATGCCTATTTCTTACTATTCTGGCGTTGACATGAACAAACACAACATTTAAACAGTGATCAAGCAACTAATAGCATAAAGCCAAGTAATTGACACTCGTATAAGAAGAAAAGTATCTACAGAATAAATTAATTAACGTTTGCATATCATCAACTATCAAATTAAATCATAGTAATAAGAGGCTTAAAAACAAGAAGAACTTTTTAAAAAAATGGGAAAGAGATAGAAAAAATTCTATGAAGATTAAGAGGGCGTTGAATCAAATTCCTTTTAAGGTGACTGTTTTGATAATAACAAACTTAATAATTTCACGACTACTTTATCCTTTTTTATTTTTAAATATACAGTTTTCTCTATAATATTTTAAAATAAATAATAAATGACATATAATATTCAATAAAAATAAATTTAAATATTTGTATCAATATGAAACATTCTAATTATTAATAGTCATTTTATTATAATTTAAAATGAAAAAGGCCGTGTTGGAAAAACAAGAGAGTCAGATAAAATTTTCCTACCCTCATTAATTGTGAGTGAAAGTCACACTCAAAGTAAATAAATGTAAAAGTAAAAGGATAAAATGGAAATAATCTTCCCTGACTATATAGTTTAATGTGAACAATTGTCATATTTACAACGAAAATCATGAGATGCAATTCTTTCCTAAGAATGAGAATAAATAGTAAACTAATTCATAGTAGTCAATAGCGGCCGGAGCGGTGGAAGATTTGACATTCCTGCAGCAGTTAGAGCAAGGGTTAAAATGGCTCCTGGTAAGTGAGACTTTTCTTAAGCTTCAACTTCACTTACAAATTTTATAGTTATTTGATAATTTATTTATATAATAATATTTGCATTTATAGCTGAGTGGTGGAAGATGTATGGAGGACATACACCACATTTGCAAATTGTTGCCATTAAGGTACTAAGCTTGACGTGTAGCTCATCTGGTTGTGAGCGTAATTGGAGTACCTTTGAGCATGTAAGTTAATGAATTAGTGGATTTAAATTTGAGTTTACTATTGAAAATGGAAAATTAACTAACATCATGTTGTTAAATTATTATAGATTCACTCAAAGAAGAGAAGTAAGCTTGAGCACCAAAAGCTTCAAGACTTGGTTTTTATTAAATATAATCAAGCTCTTCAAGAACGCTTTGAGTGTCAAGATCCAATTGATCCAATTGCTTTGAATGAAGTTGATGATAACAATGAATGGATGTTGGGAGAAGAAAATGATGAGGATGAATTTGAAGATGACTTGGTGTTTGATGATGATGTTTTGACTTGGAGAGATGTTGCCCAAGCAAGTGGTGCCGGTGAACCTTTGAAATACACTAGGAGACAAACACAAGTGAACAAGACATCAACAATTGCATCTACATCCAAGAAAGATAAAGGAAAAAAAGTGATGGAAGTACTAGAAGACGAGGATGATGATGTAGAGGAAGAAGAAGAATATAATTCTAATGCTAGTGGGAGTGATGAATTTGAGGGAGAGGAAGACTTTAATCTTGATGAGGAAGAAGATTAAACTATAATGTTTAATTTTTTACTTACTTAGAGCTTTAACACTTTGTTTTGGAGACATTTTATATTATGTATTGTTTGAGTACTATGAACTTTTAATTATTAAAAATGTTTAATGCATGAATTTAGAGTTATTTTTTTGTTTTTTTTAGCTTTTATATATATATTATTAATTATTTAATATATATAAATTAATATTTAAATAGCGGTTATCCCGCTCCGCGTCATCCCGCTATCCCAGTTTTGGGGTCGGCCGCTCCGCGCCGCTATCCGGGATTGACTACTATGAACTAATTGAGAGGGTGAGAAAAGTGAAAACCTCATTCTCTAATTTGTATATTCTAATTTATATCAGGGTAGATGAGTAATCATATCATGTTATAAAACTTAATTATAAAAGTTGAAGAACTATATATATCATATTATAATTATGCAGTGTAACTACCCCAGAACTAGTGCTTCCTTGAGCAATAATTCTTTCTTGAAGCGATCTATATTGAATTGTGAATATGAATATTATATTTGTAGCGATTTTACTTTTCGTAAGCTAGAATACTATATGCAAGTAGAGGAGTAAACCAGCAATACCAATCGGTGTTTGGTCCAAGCTTTGTAGCTATTAATGTAAGATAACAGTAGCAAGATTAATGATCCCTACAAGCGTTGACAGTGTTGATTTATAATTACTTTTTTTCTTGTCATTTGTAATAGCATGACAGTATGTGATCGGCCATAACAATGTCCACGTAGACAAGAAGTTTATTTGCTCTTGGCTCAAACTTCAAAGAAACGAATCTCGACAAAAAAGGTTCTCTTGCTCTTGGTTCGAACTTGAAAGTCAAAGGAACAAATCTTTTTCTATGCAGCCTCATTCATCAAATTAAAATTACCTTCCACTTATTTAAATGGTATAACAAAGTGTTAAGTTGATTTTTCAGAACCGGACAAAAATCATAGTTCAGTCTTCAAAGTAGCATGTTACAGGAAATTAAAATAGAGAAATATGATCATGCATGCATGTAGCGGAATTTGTGGGCGTTACAGATAAGACACTACCCTTATTCTGGTGGGTGGGTACGTGAGTCCAGTGAAAGTGCAGCTATAAATTGCACATTAAATTTGTCCCTCTTTCATTGGATAACTTTGTGTGATACACAATTGATTTCATTTTAGCACTTTTGTGTTCACGTGGGAGATTACTTTTTAGCGAGGCATATTACATAAGACAGCAAAGTTTCACGGTGGGGAACATGCTTCACCCACGTTACATATATATCCAAACAGAGCCTAGTTCGGTAAGGCACTCTATTTCCTTCACCCAAGTCATGCTCAATTATTGAACATTCATCTCAAGTTTTGTATGAGGAGTAATTGTGCGTGAACAACTTAGAAAGTATTAATAACTCAGCTTTCAAATACAAAATGATCAGGATGATGATGAAAGCTATACCATGCTTGCTCTTTCTAGGACCCTAGTCCATCACATAGAAGCAAAATGAAGGAGAAAAGAAATGTGGATTTCCTAGTCAGAGTGTCTATCTTGTTGCATGTGTGTTTCCCTTGTTTTGGCTCTATGTGGAATCTGCTTAACCTTTTGACCTTCTAGATTTTACCCTTCCTTTTCCAAACCAATATTCCTTGTCTCCTCCAATGCCTGTTGGTTCTTCCATGTGTAAAAAACTTAAGTGCAGCAAAACTAATGGAATATTATTAATTCCTTGTAAATGACCATACAATGTTTGGTATCCATGTTTAATTTCCTACCACAATCTGTTTTAATTCGCAGTAGCTATAGCGGTATAGATTGTCAATTCAAGATATATAATTAATCAATTTAAGCCGTTGAACATGCAGCGACAGTGGATATAGTTATGGTAGGGTGTCTATTCTGGCGGATCACATTCAAAGATTGTTTTAACACAACTTGATGTTAAAAATTTAATAAAAATTCATTAAATAAAAAGTAGAGTAATTGGATTTTTAACATCCAATAAACACTTGCCTTATCCGTGGAAACAAAAACATATGATAATAAGATATTGTTTGGTGGTTAGTGGTTACCAAAATCGCAGTCAATAACTCTGATAGCAACGTTGATGAGAAAAAGAAAAAAAGAAAAAGAAAATTGTAGGATAATTAGGGTTGTCTGAAGGGAAATGAACTGTAGTTCATGTGATATGCATTATCTGTTAATATAGAAATGAAGAGTGTGAAAATGACTCTCTTATCCCTTCTGGCACACTCCTAGAGTGGGTCCCGCAAGAAGAAAAACAGGGTCAGAACAAAAATATAAATAAAAAAAAGTCTCACATCGAACGCATAGCAAATGGAGAACTACCAGTACCCGTCGTACCCGGACTCCGGCGACTCCTCGCCGCGCTCAAGAGAGATCGACTTCGAGAACCCACCGCCGTGGGACGACCAGCAAAACCAAACCTACAAAGCAAAGTTCATGTGCAGCTACGGCGGCAAGATCCAGCCGCGCACGCACGACAACCAGCTCTCCTACGTCGGCGGCGACACCAAGATCCTCGCCGTCGACCGCTCCATCAAGTTCACCACCTTCCTCTCGAAGCTCGCGGCGGTCTGCGACACGCCGCCGCAGGAGCTCACCTTCAAGTACCAGCTCCCCGGCGAGGACCTGGACGCGCTGATCTCCGTGACGAACGACGACGACCTCGAACACATGATGCACGAGTACGACCGACTCTACCGCCCTAACTCTAAACCCGTGAGAATGAGACTCTTCCTCTTCGCACTTTCCGCAAACCCTAATTCCTCTTTCTCCTCCGATCGCGACGCTGTCAAAACCCCTCCCCTTCCTCCTTCCAACGTCGATTACCTCTTCGGCCTCGACAAGGCCGTCGCTCCTCCTCCCATCGCGCCTTCCTTCGCCGCGGTCAAGTTCCACGATCCCGTTCCGGAGCCCGCCGCGCCGCCGCCGGAGTATCACCCCCGCGCTCCCGCTCCCGCTCCCGCTCCGCCTCCCGTTTCCGATCCCAACGTCAGTACACTCGAAATTCACCGGCAGTTGCATCAGGAGATGCAGCGTTTGCAAGTCGCCGAGAGCGAGTACCGGAGGCGGAGCGAGGATGGATTCGCCGCGGGAGGGGATTATTACTTGCAGAAGCCGCCGGAGAAGGTTTCGCCGCCGGGATACTGGCCGGAGAAGCAGTTCTCCGGCGAGGGATATCAGACCACCGTCACGACGGCTCCCGGCGGAGGTGACCAGGCGATGTACGTTATTCCGGCGCCGGGGACGTACTACCATGCGCCGATGGTGAGGCCGGCGGCGCAGGGGTACTACGCGGTGCCGAGGATGGGTTCGGAGGGGTACCGCGAGCAGGCGGTGTACGGCGGCGTTGCGCAGCCGAAAGCGGCGTTTTCGTCGGCGGGGGCGGTTAAGGGGTCGGCGTACGCGGAGGGGTACGGCGTGGTGAGGCCTGGCGGGGTGACGGAGAATGCGGCGTACACGCAGGTGGCGTATGATAGTGCGAGTGGGAGGCAGGTTTACTATACTGCGCCGGGAGGGGTGGTGCAGTATCAAGGAGTTGCGGATGCGAGGCCGGTAGGGGTTTCGGTGGCCCAGGATGGTAAGGTTGTTAACAAGGTCTCTCATTCTCAACAAGGTTCTGTCTGATTATCTTTTCTTTTCTTCTTCTTTTTTTTCTTTTTTTTAATAATATTACATAAATATGCTTTGTTTCCTCTTGCTTATATATAATAATACCAATATTGTTAGCTCATTATCTATGACTATGCTTATTGTTTCACTTTCCTTCCATGACTGTTATTTCTTTAAATATATTGTTAATAGCAGAAAGGCATGTACATCTGGAATTTGAGAGTTTTGTCCTTTTTTCTTGGTCTTAATCATGGTTGAACATGAGAGTTGATTGTGCGCATGCATGCGAACAAAAATGTAGCAATCACATATTTAATCGAATGGGCAATTGAGATAATTTTGGATCCCACCTGTCCTTCCCCAACTAATACTAGTCTTTGACAAGTTTAATTTCATATGCGCCCATAAGGCCTATGAAGAGGTACTTAGTTTTTTTTTTTTTTTATTTCTCATATTTAACCGACATTCAAAATAAATTTATATTCATTTAAACATTTTATTATAAAATATGTTCTTAAAAGACTTTAAAATATGTTAATATCATAAAAATAAATTAGATTTAATTCTTATAAAATTTAGCATATATATATATATTAGGATCGATTCAATGATAAAGAATTGGGATAATATGTAATGATTTGTCTTGATCATCAAATTTACATAATCATCTTTCACAAGTAGCGAAAACTACTTTAAATTCTTACAATTAATATGTTCATGTAACTTAAATATATATATACATACACACATATATACATACATACATGTTACTCGAATCTTTAATAGTGAAAATAAAAATCATAAGTCATTGGTCAAGGAATGTTTATAGAAACTATAACAACTTGCCTTGTGCATCACATTCACGGAATTACCCTATAACAAACAACAAAAACTACTTAAAATACTCAACATTAATATGTTCACAACACTTAGATATATGCACACACATATATATATATATATATATATATATATATATGTGTGTGCATATATCTAAGTGTTGTGAACATATTAATGTTGAGTATTTTAAGTAGTTTTTGTTGTTTGTTATAGGGTAATTCCGTGAATGTGATGCACAAGGCAAGTTGTTATAGTTTCTATAAACATTCCTTGACCAATGACTTATGATTTTTATTTTCACTATTAAAGATTCGAGTAACATGTATGTATGTATATATGTGTGTATGTATATATATATTTAAGTTACATGAACATATTAATTGTAAGAATTTAAAGTAGTTTTCGCTACTTGTGAAAGATGATTATGTAAATTTGATGATCAAGACAAATCATTACATATTATCCCAATTCTTTATCATTGAATCGATCCTAATATATATATATATGCTAAATTTTATAAGAATTAAATCTAATTTATTTTTATGATATTAACATATTTTAAAGTCTTTTAAGAACATATTTTATATATATATATATATATATATATATATATATATATGTGTGTGTGTGTGTGTGCGCGCGCGCGCGCGCGTGTAAACCAACAAACTATACAAAAACATATATACATAGGTACAATAATTCATAATTGTGAAAATAAAAACCCTTAGTCGACAATTAAGTAATGTCTATATAGGTTAACAAAAGTATTCATCGACTACATTGTTGACAACATTGCTCCATAATAGCTTCACAAGCTCACTCTAGTTAACCTAATCTTGCTCCCATGAAAATTATGAACATCACAGTTCAAATTACATGAAAAACACGTTAGGATAAACTAGATTTAAAAAATAAAGTAAGTATGGGAATAAGTCTCTATACTTAACTCCATCATGCAAATGAAGCAAGTACATGCTCTGATTTGTATCCACAATAATCATCATGTTTGAAAGCTAAAACACCAAAGCAAGTTTAACATTCACCATTATCTCCATTTTGATTAAAAGTAACAACATGAAATCAACAAATCAAGCACCAAAAACTAATTTTAACTTCCCTTACCTCAACTCCGAACAACTGAAAATGAAGAAGAGGAAGTAAGAATGGAAGGGACGTTAGAGTTTTGTGAAGCTTTGCACAACACCAAAACGCTCTAATTCTCAACTCTAAGCTTTGAATCCAAATCAACTACACGAATCAACAACTCGAAGATCCTTGGTAAGTTGAGAGAAAAATAAGGAGAAAGATCAGAACTTGAAACCCTCTCATTAGTTTATCTTTATAGATTTCTTAATAATGAATTTATGGAACTCAATTATAAAAGAAAACTTTATATGTTTCCTTTCCTTTAAGTTTAACCAAACATTTGGTCAAAGAACCCTCTCTAGCATGCACCATGCCCAAAATTAGGCAAAGATACAACATTACATTGCATGTGTAAGATTATAGGTTTGAACCATGATACTATTATTGTAATTCTAATAGATGAAAAAAAATGATAAATTAATGTATTTTAAAATAAAGTCAAATCCAAGACTAATAATGCTTAGTCTAACCCATCATTTCCACCCCCACGTGGACATTTATTAGTGACTTTATTTTTTATAAAAATGTCAATATATATTAATTAAAAATTAACTTATTATAAAAAATCAATAACTCGATAATTTATTATACTTTATTTTTTATTATATTAAATGATATTAGAGTGTAAAAGAAGAATTAATGAAAATGAATTATTACTTTTTAAATAATTAGTAATATTCAATAAAATAGATATCTTAGTTAAATTTGCTAAAAGTTATAATAACGAAAACATTAAACAAAAAAAAAGTATTTAATTAAAAACTTAAGAAATGTTTAATATTTTTCATTTAGTATAAGTAAAATATAATTTAGAATTATTGTTCCAAAGTTATAGTAGAGTGGAATTATTCTGGTAGAGCAAGAGTGCGTTTTATCTACAATCATATGCCCACGATTGTTCCCACTACGTCGAAGGATCACTTAGTCACCCCATAACTATTGCGCCTTCACACTACTCATACTGCTCTATGCTAATTATATAATAATTTTATAATAACTAAAAAATAATTTATAATTAATTGAGAGTATGAAAATTGTTTTTTAAGACTAGTCTTTTAAGATATGAAGATTCATTTTAAGATATTTCTAACCATATATTTAATTAACAAATTAAGTCACGTCTTATTTTTAAAAGAGAAGAGTAAAATCTATCCATTTTTGACAAACATAAAATCTAAAAAAAGAAAATAAAAGTCAATATTGTATGGCTACCTAACGTACGAAAGAAAGTGTAGGGTTTTAATGTATGCAATATACGAGTGGACCACTAACATATGCTTTTAACTACGTTAATCATATAATTAACCATTTTTCTATTACAAGTTGCCATTCAAGCCCTAACCCTTCACTTACTTTCTCTACTTTTACCATTCCCTTTTTGAAAATAATATAAACTCACACTTTATTGCAATCACGCTCATAATTACTTCCATTTATATCACCCATCACTCCATGTATGTAAGGAAATTATTTATGGAACTTGAGTGTATTCACAAAAATTGGGAAAGTTGGATTGTATAATAGATCATAAATAAAATATATTTTTAATAAAAAATAATTTTGAGATATTTAATTTTATTTGAGCATAGTAAAAAATAATAATTTTATATAATAAATCAGTTTCAAGACAAAAAAGTTGTTGAAAAATAACCATAAGATTCAATTTTTTTATATTAAAAATAGCTTGTTTTTAGGGGAAAAACTGTATCAAAATAAGTTATTATCCCATACAACCAGCCTATTCATAAACTTCCTTTTTCTTAAAAAAAAACTAGCTGAAAGTTGGGAAATACTCTTTCCCAAACACGCACCTAGTTGAAAGATGTTAATGAATTATCACTACTTGGCAAGGTATGTTAGGATAGTTTTTTTTCATAAACACCTATGAGAGAACAAAAGAAGATCTATATAAAATAAATATCTTCAAAGATGGAGGTGTGTTCAATAAAACTGGTTAATAAATTAAATTGGTTAAAAGAATTATAAATTATAAGTTAGGAATTGAAAAAGTAAAGGCTTATAAGATAACTAGTTAAATTAAAAGAATTTGATGAGATTAGTTAATAAGCTAGTTGGTTAAAATGATATTTATTTATTTAATAAGGAGAATGAAAAACTAATATGTAAACAAAATATTTTATAAATTATAAAGGATAAAGATAATTTTAAGTAAATCAATGAAGATAAAAAAATTTAAAAATTATAATGTAAAAGTTGCTTCAATTAATTTACAAAAATAAATTATAAGCTCACAAAAAGATTCATGTAACTATTGCATACTAACCGATAGATAAAATATGTATTAATGTGACAATTAACTGTTTATTAGTTATAAGATTAATAAAGTTAATATTCAAGTACAACAAAAAGATTAACTTGTATAATATAGTTAAAATTTAGGTATTTAGATACCATAAAAAATCTTTCAATAATCTACATGTCACTTTTATCATCTTTTAAAGATCAAATTAAATATTTTATCAATCACCTTTAAATTAAATTGAATTTCGCCAAAATTTTAGTCAAACTTTTCTGGCAGTGTAACACCACCGGAGGTGTGATTCAGAGGCGATTTTTCATTTTTAAACATACATGTTATCATAAATTAATAAGTATTTTTTATATCATATATCTTTTTTAATTTAAGTAAAATTTAAAAGTATAAATTTAAAATGTTTATAAAACAATGAATTACGAAAAAAATACTAATGACTGAGTATAAAAATCAGATAAACATAATTATTAGCTGGTTTTTTTATATAAAAAAAAGAACAGTATAAATTTTTTTTGAAAGAAAGTTTTAGGCAATATAGATAGCGAAGATTTGATATGAATAAACTAATGTAAAAATTCTTTTGAAAAATTGAAATTAAAATATATAGAATAAAAATAATATTTAAAAAATAATTAATAACTTGAAAATTCTTTAAAATGTAGAATTTAACATATAACAATATATAAATGAAATTCCTCTTTTAAACCTATTCTTAATAAAATATTTATAATCTTTTATGATATTTTTATATTTTTTCATTAACGTAACTCTTAATGATAAAATTAGTGGTTGAATGTGAAGAGATTGAGGTAATTAGAAGCATGAGACCTAAGTTTAATATTCATTGTCATCATCTTTATAATTTCTTATCTTTACTAAAAGAAAAAAAGACTAACTACCAACTCTATATATATTAGCATAAAATAGATATTTTACGACTTTATATATTTATTTTAAGGATATAAAAGTAAAATGAATGATAAAAGTAATAAAAATATAAATAAACTATTTCTAGAATAAAAACTCATTTTACCATTCACGTTTTTTTTAATTTATTGATAGAACAACTATTGTCCATGAATGAACCATTGCTTTTATTTTAGGATCATCAGTGAAGAAAAAAAGAAAAGTGTAAACAGAATAATTGGAAAAGGGTAACATAAAAGTCAAAAACACAGGAACAAAAACCAGTGGCGTTTAACCAAATCTACCTTCTATTCATTTCTCTTTTCACATTTATTACACTGATTCTAAATGAATTTCTATAACTTAAATATGAAATTGTAAAATAAAGGCAAATAACATAAATAAAAGGGAAAAAAGTAAGAGAAACTGAATTGATAGTGGAATTATTTTCTTAAAGCATTATTATGATCTTAAAATTCAAAATTAAAAGTTTTCACATGTTTTTTTTTATATATATATAAATCAGAATAATTTCTTAAAGTCTCTTCATCATTTAATTAAAAAAAAAAATCACCACCAACAACATTCATTTATTAGGAGACTATAAACTTTTAGCTTAAGTAACCACATTATTCTTATTCATATACCCTTCAATGTGTTTCAATCCATCAATGTGAAACTTGATTTTCAATACTCTCCCTCAAATTCAACTAACCTAACCTAATGACTTTTAAATATTGACTTGCTTTTCTTTTCTTTTCTTTAGTTTTAGAGGCTTTAGGTCTTTTTTTTTATAATTTTTTTTAAAAAAATTTTGGACAGCATGTCGTTCATGTACCTATATATATATCCTTTTAATTTATTTTTGTGTTATTAATATGATTCTTGTTCTCCGACATTTGTTTGTTCGTGTATTATCACAAGTATTTATGTCATTTTAATATTTTTGAAAAGTATTTAGATAAAGGCGTGCTTAATTATTGTATTCGTGAAAACGTAATAATCACACTCAATTCCTTTAACCTAATAAATATATAATATTGAGACAAAATTAGCTTCTAAGAAAAGCAACAAAACAAATACGTAACAGGAAATCAATAATTTGAGAGGGTGGTCCATATCATCCAAATTTTCTACACGAAGCATAAAAAATATATATATTTTTTAGTATTAAACAAAAGTGTATAATTAATTTTTGAATTTAATATTATTAATTAAGTTAAAACATTGTTTTATGGATAGATAGTAAGTAAAAGAAATAATGTATTAAATTAAATGGCGTGATTATTGTGTGCCCTGAAAACGAAACATCTAACGACCAAAATAGTCCAAACCTACTATTTCTTTCTTTTAAGACACTTAGAAATATTTTTACTTTCCTTAAGATATATGAGAATGATGTAAGTAAAAGATTAAATATTTGTGTTTATTTTTAGAATAATTATGTTATTGTTATGAAGTATATTAACTTTGTTGATGACTAGTCAAATAATTTGTCTAACTATTTTTTAGTAAGATTTCTACTAATAATATTTTTTCATTGGCAGTAACTAAACTCAAGACTTTACTTAAAATAATAAGTCCAACCACACTCGAACAAACAAAGTTAATATTTATGTCTAAAATGATACAAATATTTGTGTTTATTAAGATTAAATTGATTAATAAATAGTTTTTAAATTCGAATTTTTTTAACAATATAATTGTAATATGTTTTGAATGAATTAGATTAACAGAGAAAACACGGATGATAAATGAACTAGATGTTACCTACAGCTGTCAAAGTGGGCTCCAGCCCGTGGGTCAACTCGGCCCACCTTGAAAACAGGCCGAGCCGGGCCAAGAAAATGAAAAAATTTATGATGGGTCAAAAAATATAACTCGGCCCACTTTCGACCCGGCCCACCCGAGTTGAACCCGTGGTGGGCCGGGTGCCCCACCTGACCTACTTACCAACCCATCCCCTAAAGTTGTTACCATTGTTCCCTTGCAGGCTTTTTTTTTGTTTGGAAATTGCACTAGCTCAAGGAGTTAGATTTGACATGTCAAATGTTTTCAAAGAGTATGAATGTATGATATGTTAATATTTACAAATGTTTAATATTAATGAGATCTAGTGCTCAATGGTTGTATAACTAACATTAAAAAAATTATATAAATAAATTTGATGAGACAAATTTTATATTTTATTAATTAATAAAAAATGGTTTTAAATTGTCTTAAAATAAAAAATTATTTTTTTCAAAAGAGCAAAATTAATTCAAATTTAAAAATCATGCTAAATCTTCTAAAAGTAAATGATAAAAAAATGTATTTTAATTTTCAAAAGAATATGTTACAAAATATTAAACCAGCCCATTAGCTTGATTCATGATTATAATCCCAACCTTTTGAAGAAAACTCCATACCAGTTTTCTTGTCTAATGCAAATCATATACTATTCTTATTTATCATGTTAGAAAGGCCACATGTTGAGGCTCTTGCATTTTATATAAACTATTTGAAAAAGGCCTATCCCACTTGCCCTAAATACATTTGGGAGCAACTATTTAGAGTTAATTTTTAACTCTTCACATTTTTTTTTTTAGTTTCTTTTACAAATATTTAGACTATTCTTAACCTCACATACTCCTTTCAAATTCCTATTTTCCTTACTTGAAGGATATTTTATGAAAAAAGAATTAAATGTTTTTATTTTTCAAATACGAGGTAATTTAAAAATAAAAAGATGAGGTAATTTTATTTTTTATCTCTCAAAACTCAAATTTAAAATTATTTTTTTAATCTTTATAATATATTATAAAAAACTTGTTTTATTCTCTTTGTTCAAATATTGTTAGTATATATTAAACAAAACTACCTAATACTAAATCTATCATACAAAAGTCACTTATTAATAATTTTATTAGTGTAAATATCATACATTAAATTCAAATGATGATATACAACTAAATTATATATTTTATCAGTAATACTGCAGGTGATCATGACAAATTAAAACAAAAAAAAAATCATAAAACTAAAATGATTAATTTTAAATTTAAAGCAAAAGAAACAAACTTGTTTCAAGTTTAAAAGACTTTAAAATGTAATTGAAAAGACATTTGAGGAGTTTATAAGCTCATTTAATTAACCTATAAACTAATTTTAAGATTGTTTGGTATAAAAGCTTGTTTTAGAAGTTTATAACTTATTTTTATAAGTTAGTTGAAATAGTTTATTTATAAACTTCTAAATTTTTTTTTTACTTTTTCCTTATCTATTATCATTAATTACTTGAAATTTCTTTTTTTTCATTTTTAATTTTTAAAATCATTTTACATACATCTTATTAGATAAATAAATATATTATTTTACATTAAACAATTATCTTATCAACCAATTTTACTAAACAATTTCAATTATAGTTAATATATAAGTTTCTAACTTTTCAACTTTTAGTTTATGACTTATAAGTCCTCTTACTTGTGTTCACACGTGACAGCATGCCAAGGTTGTCTCACACTCACTCATAAGGGAATGCAAGAAACTTCAAAGATTAAAATAAAATTAAAAAAAAAAAAAAATTGCCTACCTGTACTCTCTATTTCCCACCCATCGCATCATGCCACGTGTACAAGCTCCAAACCTTTTCTGATTTTCTTTGAGTTCTATTCAAAATGTTTTACAAGAAAAATCTTTTGTATTCAATTAATATTTAGTCTTGTCTTCCTCTGGAATTCATAACTAAAAGGACTCAATAATTATTATTATTATTATTATTCTTGTTCTGCAGAGACCTATGACTATGAGAGTAGGAGTGGTGGATAGTAACTGTCTTCAACCATATAAATATAAACAAAGAACTATATGGTATCTTCAAATAGTAGTGATTCTGAAGTTATATGTCAAGGACCAATTAATTAAAATAAAATAAACTAAATTTAAATGTTAATATTTTTTTTTTTCTGGATCTTTCTGATTCCTTAAATTTTTCTCCGCGCCACTTGTTATATTCTCTCTGCCTTTTACTTAAAGCCTGTCTCCCTCTGTATAGTAATACGTATTTGTGAAGCACTTACTTTGGTTAATCATTTGTAAGTTGTCTTCCAAAAAATCTTCTGAAATTTTGTCTTTTGTGATTTTCAGTGGAAGACATGAGTGAGAACGAATATGGATACTCATATCCTGCTCAAGGTACATGCTTACAGACACCTCACATCCTTAAATTTAACACAAACCTTTTGTTCACCTTAGGTGGATGCTTCTGAATTTCCTGCATCTTTTGTTTTGTTTCTTCTCATGCAAACAAAATAAAAGTTAGTTAGTTGTTAATCAAACCAATAGAGTCAGTTTAGTAGTTAAGAAATTGAATTAGATGTATGAAAATTTAAGTTTGATCTTTATTGTAATTATTTTACTGATTAGAAGAAAAAAAAAAGTTGTCGTTAATCAATGCATTTTTGCTTATAAAAAAATAAGTTAGTTGCCGCAGCTAATCAATTTCCTCCCTTTTTGCATATATAAACCATTAATTGCTTGAATTTGAAGGCTCTCAATTTATGTTAATTACTATAGGTAGTAGTAGTAAATAATTGTTATGATAATGTCCTTCAGGTCCTTGTCAAGGGCCACCTCCAGTGGCTGCACCTCCATAGTACTATGCTGCTCCATCATCCAAAAGAGAAATGGGGTGTCGGAAAGAAATAGTGTTTACATACATTGGAAGGTCAAATTCGTCGTTCCATTGAGCCAAAAATATAATTTATTCCTTTTTAAGTCATGCAGGTATTATATTCCCATCTTATTGTTAAAAGCTTTTGTTTGATTTTGCTTTGCTTGTTTTGCACAAATCTGCAGCCTAGTAGCTTTATGTTGCTACTGCATACTGAACGAATGCTGCTGCTGCTGCTGAGACCAACTATTATTCTGGCTAGTTAATTAGTATTATGGTAATGAGGAAGACTATTATTGCAAATATTGTATTTAATTGAGGTTGTTATCTGTATTAGAATATAAATTATATATGTATGAGTATTGAGTACTAGTGGACTGTTCTTTGATTATCGTTTGTTACAAAATACTAACACTTGAAGCTACATTATTAGCAAGGATATTTGAGAAGAGAATTAAATTTGGTACTCGACACACTTGGAGTGGGGGATAATATCTGTAATCACAACTTCACATGAAAAGTCAATTTTTTAAAACAAAATCATAAGATTGATAACAATTATTAAAAATTAAGTAAAAAATAAAAACTGCAAATTACGAATAGAAAATTGTTTTAATTTTTAAAGATGTTAAAAGCTTATAATGTAAAACCGTCGAAACAAGACCTAACAACTTGAATTTAATTTTTCTCAATATAAAACTTTTTTCTTCCCTTCTACCTTGCCAGGATCACCATTAAGAAACCTCACTTTCAACCATCTATTAGGTCAACTACGGCCATTACCACCAGTTGAATCATTGCATTCGTAAGCTACTGCAGCTACAAATTGTTAACTTATTGAGCCTAGCGTCTTGGTGTGCTGTGCGCGTTACAGGTGCATGCAAGTCTCCAAACAAAGTTCCAAATGCTAGTAACAGCCATGACGAATGAACAAATTTTACGCAAAAATTTCGATTTAGTTATTCAAACAGCCGTGTTCGGAGTACAAATGCTACAAATCAAACAGCCTACTGGTAAAAATTGGCTTTCAACATTAGATACAAAAGTAACCTTGTATTGTTGCAATTATGTGATGATTAAAATAAGAAACAAATGCTACAAAACCTCGCCTACTACATAGCTCACTTCTTGACTTCTTCATACTCTGCCTCAGGAGCCTGGTCACCACCACCCTGAGAACCTCCTGCTGAGGAACCGCCACTAGAACCACCTGACATGTGCTCTCCAATCTTGGAGACGGCTTTGTTTGCGGCATCAAGCTTTGACTTAATTTCATCGGCATTGTCCCCAGCCATTGCGTTTCTCAAATCTGAAACTGCATCTTCAATCTCTTTGGCCACTTCGCTGGGAATCTTCTCTCGGTACTCACCTAAACTCTTCTCAATGCTGTAGATGGTTGTATCTGCACTGTTTCTGATGTCAATGAGAGCCTTTCTTTCTTGGTCTCTCTGAGCATGTAACTCTGCTTCTCTGACCATCTTATCAATCTCATCTTCTGAGAGTCCTCCAGAAGACCGGATGGTAATTTGTTGTTCTTTCCCAGTGGACTTGTCTTTGGCAGAGACAGTAACAATTCCATTGGCATCTATATCAAATGTGACTTCGATCTGAGGCAAACCTCTTGGGGCAGGAGGAATGCCAACAAGTTCAAATTCTCCGAGCATTTTGTTGTCTGCAGCCATTTCTCGCTCACCTTGTAGCACCTTAATACCAACCTGAGTCTGATTGTCAGCTGCTGTTGAAAACACCTGAAACAATGATATCGCAAGTTAAAAGTAGACTCAACCAAATAGCAAAAAGCATATTTAACAAAATTAAATAGGCTATACATCTAATAACTAAATCAGGTACAAAAAGAGTATTTCGAAATTAGAACATATTTGCAGTGGTTGGGGGAGTCTTCAATAAAGCATGTTATTATTACCTGGCTCTTTTTTGTGGGAATTGTGGTATTGCGGTTGATCAACCTGGTAAAGATACCACCCAAAGTCTCAATACCCAGAGAAAGTGGAGTAACATCCAGGAGAAGTAGCTCTTTAACATCTCCACGTAGGATACCACCCTGAATAGCTGCTCCCATGGCAACAGCCTCATCAGGATTTACTCCTTTGCTAGGACTCTTTCCAAAGATCTCTGAGACCACCTCCTGAACTTTAGGCACACGGGTCATCCCTCCAACAAGAAGAACCTCATCAACATCTTTGATAGATATGTTAGCATCCTTCAAGCAGCTCTTACACGGTGCCTTTGTTCTTTCAATCAAGTTGTTTACCAAAGCCTCAAACTTGGATCTTGTCAATGTGATGTTCAGATGCTTTGCACCAGATGCATCAGCAGTGATGAAAGGAAGATTGATTTCTGTCTGAGATGTCGAAGACAGCTCAATTTTTGCTTTCTCTGCAGCTTCCCGAAGCCTCTGCAAAGCAAGCCTATCCTTCGAAAGGTCAATACTCTCAGTTCTCTTGAATTCATTCACTAGAAAGTCCAATAAAGCATTATCAAAATCCTCTCCTCCCAAGAAAGTGTCACCATTTGTGTCTTTCACCTATACACAAAATTTATCAGCAACAGTTTCAAACATTATTCCTAAATCCTAATGATATGAAAAAAAGGAAAAAGATAATCAATTGTAAATACCTCAAAAACACCATTAGAAATCTCTAAGATGGAGACATCAAATGTTCCACCACCAAGATCAAAAACTGCAATGAGACCCTCCTTGTTGTTCATCCCATATGAAAGTGCAGCAGCAGTGGGCTCATTGATGATTCGCTGCACATCAAGACCAGCAATTCTACCCGCATCTTTTGTTGCCTGCCTCTGAGCATCATTGAAGTAAGCTGGTACAGTAACTACAGCTTTTGAAACTGACTTTCCCAGATATGATTCAGCCGTTTCCTTCATCTTGGTGAGAACAAAAGCACCAATTTGGCTGGGAGAATACTGCTGGCCATTGGCTTCAACCCAAGCATCTCCATTGGGTGCCCTGACAATCTTGTACGGTACCATCTTCATCTCCTTCTGAGTTTGATGATCATCAAAACGCCTACCAATCAAACGTTTTGTTCCAAAAAGAGTATTTGTTGGGTTAGTCACAGCCTGACGCTTGGCTGGTGTACCCACAAGAAGCTCCCCTTTCTGGTTGAAGGCAACTACTGATGGTGTTGTTCGAGCTCCTTCAGAATTCTCGATAACTTTGGGATTCTGAAAATGTCATAGATAATAGTAAGCAAATACATCATCCCTTAAAACATATGTAAACAAATTGAGAGAAAAAAATCTTGCCTTTCCCTCCATAACAGAAACACATGAATTCGTGGTACCCAGATCAATTCCAATGACATCATTACCCGCAGGTTTTGAACTGCAGTGACATAAAGTTTTACAATGAATAAATTATAGATTGGAATCTCTCTCTATATATAATCATAAGAAAAAGAGTAATACTATGAAACCAAAACAACAAATGGCACCTGAATGGTCGGGACAAATTCGCCCACTTGTGACCAACACATGATGTCTTTGTGCCGCCTGTCAACTGCACAACCATGCAATAAAAAAATTAGATTTACCTTCTGAATAAACGCTCAGATAACATATGATCAACCATCAACAATCATTATTCAACAAATGATGCCACAAGAACAAACAACAATACTAGGTCCCAATCCCACATAGTTAAGCATGTCAAAATTGCGAGTTATGAAAAAAGAAAAAAAAAATTATATACAACAGCAATACAGCATCCGAACTTGTATATTTTCCTTGGTACACTCATTTCATATCCGAACTTGCATATGAATAACAACGAAGTCAGCTGTCCCCCCCCCCCCCCCCAAAAAAAAAACGCAGACAATCTAGAAAAATTCCGAGCCAATACATAACCCAATAATCAGTAAAATCCAAAGTAACAAGTGCCTCTATCTTCCATAAAAGTGCGTAGGACAGTCCTCAAAACCTTTCTAAAACAGTTAAATCCCAAGATCTATTAGTACGTACTATTGACGAGATAGATTTTAATAATTTTTTTCCGACATGAGCGGATTTCACCTCCGCAAAAAAGTCCCATAATCAGAGGACACAGAACCTCGTCTCAGAGATCTTAAATGAAAAAAGAAATAAAAGGAAAGTGAGATGCGAAAAAGAGGGCGGTGACGTACCGATCGAAAGGCAGAGAGGGAAGAAGAAGGAAGGTCGCGGCGTCGGAGAGAGCGGAGCAAGGCGGTGGCGGCCATGGGGGATTGTGGAAATGAGAAAGAAAGGGTTTGGTTTTAAGTTTTGTAGGGTTTAGGGTTTTGTGGTGACGAGAGAATAGGTGGAAATGAGGTATCGTGTACTTCTAGTCTTCAACACATTTTATGTATCACTCACTATTCTCGATTATTCTGGAAATGTCTAAGACCAAGCACCATATTAGGTGTCATTACTCGTTACTTTTTAAACCGTCGGATATATTATTAAAAATTTAATAACTTAATAATAATTTTATATATTTTAATTTATAAACCAAATCAATTATTTATAATAAATATATTATCTATTATATTATGTGATATATTATAAAAAAAATGTTTTATTACATAAGTAAATGTAACATGACATTACTACATTCGTTATTTTTTTTGTCTAAATTTCATCACTTTTTCTTTGTTTGTTTTCTTACATAAAAATATACTATTACATATAATAATTAAGATTATATTTTGATCCTACAGAAAAGTTATATTTTTTATTAAATTAATTAATTAAATTTTATAATTTATAGTTATGGTAACATTTTTATTTATTATCACAATTTTATAAAAATTTACCATAAATATATGTATATAATAAATCATACATATTTTAATTTTATATAATATTTTATTATACTTTTTCATTAACAATATAATTATTAGACAAATATATATAAAACAACAAGAAAAGAAGATTGTTTTAATATGAGCAATTTCAAGAATATATATTCCAATCAATATATACTTTTTCTTTTAACTGTGTCCACCTCTTACGCATACTACTCTCATTAATTTATATTATATACCAGTAGGAGAGACATTACTACATACATCTATTATTTTTAAAATAATAAAAACTAGTAGTTAGTTGGAGATTTATGGAAGATAAAAAAAATAAAAATTAAAAAATTTAGTGAGAGAGGGGAATGAGGTGAAAAAGTGACTTCAAAGTAGTTAAAAAGATAAAATAATTAAAAATTTATGTATACGAAAATAAATGATCACTTATACATATAACATAAATTATAAATTTTAGATTTTGATTAGGAATAGCTAAAAAAATCTACTTGTAGATATTTATAAATAAAATCTATTATAAATTATAAATAAATAATTAAATGGGTATCCAAAGTAAAAATGAGCAATAAGGTATTTGTATTAGTAAATATTCGAACTTTAAATATGTTAAAAATATTTTTAATTACATATAAATTAATTTAATTTAAT